AGTATTTTGCGTAGCCAACTGTTAATAAACACTTGTATCATCTGGATGATGCCTTTCGTAGTTCTCCATGTTTCCGCTCCATACAGTAGAACTGTCTTGACATTTGTATCGAAAATCCTGATTTTGGTTTTGGTTGAAAGTTATTTGGAGTTCCAGATATTTTTCAATTGTAGAAATGCAGCCCTTGCTTTGCCAATCGGCGCCCTCACACCTGCATCGGATCTACCTTGGTTGTCGATGATGCTGCCCAGATATGTAAAGGTGTTAACGTCCTCCAAGGCATCTCCATCAAGAGTGATTTGGTTGGTGCATGTCGTGTTGCATCGGAGAATCTTGCTTTTTCCTTTATGTATGTTGAGACCTACTGCTGCAGAGGCTGCTGCTACACTGGTCGTCTTCTCTTGCATTTGTTGTTGTGTGTGCGATAGAAGAGCCAAGTCATCTGCGAATTCTAGATCGTCCAGCTGCGTCCTAACTGTCCAGTTGATACCGTGCTTCCCTCCAGACGTCGACGTCTTCATAATCCAGTCGATGACCAGGAGAAAGAGAAAGGGTGAGAGTAAGCAACCTAGCCTGACACCGGTCTTCAACTCGAAAGAGTCTGTTAGCTGTCCTTCGTGTACGATTTTGCAGTTGAATCCATCATAAGAGTTCCGTATGATGTTGACTATTTTCTCAGGCACACCGTGGTGTCGAAGAAGCCTCCACAGTGTTTTCCTATCCACGCTATCGAATGCTTTCTCGTAGTCGATGAAGTTGATGTAGAGTGGTGAGTTCCATTCAATTGATTATTCCACTGTAGTGAAGGTGAACACAGGTGGGGCAACCAATTTGTATTTAACGAAAATTACAGAGTTACTCAGTAAAATCAGAAAACTACATCGTAAATCGTTTATTTGCAAAATATCAGTTCATCATATCGAACTGGACTGTCCCTGTTCCAGAACATCAATCCATTGTCACTATTCATGTGTTTCATACAAATTCCATTGTTTTCTAACTCTTCCTTTCTTGATCTTCTCCCATCTTCTGCTGCCAGACATTTCGTTGACACTCACGTCGTATACTACTTATAAGTAGCTCGCACCACAGCACCACACCACAATGATCCGTAATGTAGCAATTTGGTCAGTACACGATCGATCCTTACGAAATCCGGCATGTCGATCTCGAAGTTGGGCGTCTACGAAGTCCTTCATTCTGTTTAACAATACCCTGTTGAAGACTTTGCCTGGTATTGAAAGAAGAGTGATGCCTCTGTAGTTCTCTCACTTGCTGAGATCGCCTTTCTTTGGTATTTTGATCAGGTATCCTTCTTTCCAATCTGATGGTACTTGTTCCTCATCCCAATCTTCTTGAAGAGAATGTGAAATACATTTGCAGTTGCTTCCACGTCTGCTTTCATTATCTCTGCTGGAATATTGTCTGGTACTGCTGCTTTGCCTCTCTTGATTTGTCTGATGACCATACTGATCTCTTCAATTGTAGGTGCCCCAATATCAGTTGGGAGGTCCCTAGATGCTGCTTCGCTGCTGGGTGGGTTCAGTGGAGCTGCTCGACGCAAGAGTTCTTGAAAGTGCTTTACCCACCTATTTCGCTGTTGTTCAGTGTTGCTGATTACTTTCCCTTCCTTGCTTTTCACTGGTCGCTCTGGTTTACGATAGTTTCCGGCCAGCTTCTTTGTTGTTTCGTACATTAATCTCAAGTTTCCGTCTCTTGCAGCCTTTTCCGCCGTCATTGTTAGATCATACACATGTTTTCGTTTGTCAGCTCTGATGCTCTCCTTCGCTCTCCTGTTTGCTTCTGTGTATTCATCTTGTGCGGTAAATTTCTCTGCTCTTGTTCGGCTGACATTCACTGCTGCCTTCTTGTTCCTTCTCGCTTCACTTTTATCCAGAGCACCAACAGAGGCCTATTCCTCGTGATGGTGCTTCGTGTGGTCCAGAAACTCCTGACATGTTGAACTGATTGCCTACTTGATCCCTTTCCAATTGTTCCTCACTAAAGTTTCCCCTCCATTGAGTAGGTCGTGCAAGGCCTGGAGCCTATTGGTGAGGGCTATCTTGAATTTGTTGAGTTTTACGGTATCCCGAAGAAAGGCCGTATTAAACTTGTGTGATGTCGTCTGTCCCGTTGTCCAGTGCTTCTTTAGCTTCAGTTTCATTTTGGCGATCAGCAAGTGGTGATCTGAAGCTATATCAGCTCCTCTCTTGGTTCTCACATCCTCCATGGTCCTTCAGAACGTTTTGTTGATACAGATATGGTCAATTTGGTTTAGAGTGGTGTGGTCCGGTGAAATCCATGTGGCTTTGTGAATGCGCTTGTGCGGTAATATTGTGCCACCGATGACCAGTTTGTTGAAGGCACATAGGTATGCAAATCTCTCACCGTTTTCGTTCCTTTCTCCCAGTCTATGTCGTCCCATGATGTCTTCATATCCAGTGTTGTCCATTCCAACCTTGGCATTCAGATCTCCCATAAGAATCGTCAAATCCTTTGGTGAACATTTCTCGACGATTGACTGCAGCCTTTCGTAGAATTGATCTTTAACGTCGTCATTGTAGTCATTGGTAGGTGCATAACATTGGATGACGTTCCTTGTAATGTCCTCTTTCTTTGTTTTGAAGGATGCTTTAATGATCCTGGGTCCATGAGATTCCCATCCTATCAGTGCCTTTTGCGCATGTTTGGACTGCATCAGTGCAACTGCTTGTGTATGTGAAGCGTTTTCCTCTTCATGACCAGAGTATAACAGCAGTTCCCCTGAAGCTAGTCTCAGTTGTCCTACTTGTGTCCAATGCGTTTCACTGATGCCGAGCACCTCGAGGTTGTATCTTTTCATTTCTGCCGCAACTTGAAATAGTCTTTCAGTCTCCCACAATGTACGAACGTTCCATGTACCTAAAAGTATGGTTGCTCTGGTTGTCAGAAGAGGCATAAGCCCCGTGACTTCCGAGGGAACTCGGCTTTCATCACGAGACGTCATAATTCTTCTTCCAACTCCCAGGGGAGAGTTAAAATGGTTTGAGTTATTTTTTCTGGTTAGCGTTTTTTTGGCAAGTGAGATTTCGACGGAATGGGGTCGCCAACCTCATGTCCAACCCTCCTCCTTTATCCGGGCTTGGGACCGGCAGTAGCCCCTAAGGTTCTACTGGCGGAGTTTGGTTCACTGTAGTGAACAGTATTCTAAACTTGTTTAGAATACAAACAGAATCACTAAAACCTAAATAAATATTATTTTTAAAATAGTTTTGCACAAATTAAATTAAATGTCTGCTTAAATAGTCACTATCATCAATTCATTATGCTCCATTTGTTCGGCATGAGAAAATAAGCTTAATGGATGATATTGTTGAAGAACTTGAACATTTGGATACCAAGTATTTTAGTTAACACGTTTCAAATCGGAAGAACTGTACGTTCTAGATCCTATTGAGAGTTACCACTAAATAATATGCAAAAATGTTTATTAGCGTAACTGTTAGGATGGGGGGTTAAGACATGAGATCATATTTCACTTAATATGATTTTATTTTAGTGTGGTATGTATTGAATGCAATATCTATTGAATTAGCTGAGTATGAATTCATTTTTGTATAACAATCAACATACTTTTCATAGCATTTATTTGTAAATCAGTTATATATATATATATATATATATATATATATATATATATATATATATATATATATATATATATATAAAGAAATGATTTATTTTTTTCTTCAATTAGAGTTATGGAGATCAGTGTTTTTACACATTGGAATCATGAACCAATCAATCACTGTTAAGCCATCATTAGAAACCTGGAAGCACTGGATGGTCTTGCGCTCGAAAGTCAAACATCTGGACAACTGAGCTGATATCCAACGGTGTTAATGTCTAAGTCTGATCAATCTAAGGATTTTGGGTGGCCTGATCCGTTTGTCTTAGGTAGTTACTGCCTACACCCAACAGGGTTAAACACCACTGGTCTTCTCAAAAGAACTCTGAGAATTTGAAATTTCGTAAACCATTTGAAGTATTACAGAAATACTGACTTTGCCAACGTGGGTTGTATTTCTTTTTGTCATTGTGATTGGTTATTAAAATTCGTATATTCCCGGCAAAATTAATCGAATTATCTTGAATGAAACATCCCACTTGAATTCGATTGGTTTAAAAGTTGCCTTTGTCAAACACTATATATAACCATTGAAACATATTTGTTCGGGGTTTATGTTTTGAGCAGAGACATATTAAATCATTGGGTAAAAGTTTTGTTTTTGTAGAGTTTAGTAGACTCGTCAAAAACATTCAAACTATCAACAACATTAATGAAATTTTTTAATGTATTATTTAACTTGTACGAAGTGATCTTTCTTTTCTTATCGTACGAATGATTTCCATAACAAAGAAATTGGATTTTTTTTTGCTGAATTCGATAATTTTCAGTTGTTTTACTATACCAGCCAGGTTATTATCCTGAACACATTTATGTGATGTCGCCATTATGATGAATAAAATGTTTGAACAATCAATGCTCATTATCATACTTTTTATTTTATATATAATCAATGAAAATGAAAGGATGTGTTAATCAGTGACACCTAAAAACCAAGAATCATGAAAGACTTAGTACATATAGTTTGAGATAAGAGATATGTTTAGGATACTGTGAAGTGAAGGAGTTCAATACATATCTTTGCTTGAAATTAGTTAAGTGTGGAAATAGAAACACACAAAAATAAGGATAATACACAGCATATGAATTTTGGTTAATCAGTTCCATGCACGACTCTGAATAGAAGATTATTTAGTGAAACAAAAGGAATTTTATGCTTTCTATATGATTATTTTCAATGGTAAAGTCTTTGAAAAAAAATAATATCAGTGTCGGTAAAGTCAAAAGAAATTAAGTTAGCATTGTATATTTCTACTTCTAATTTATTGTATAACGTGAAAAGAAAAATTTTGAATTCTATAAAACATTATTACTTTTAGTCATAGAAATGAAGATGCTTATCAGTCGTGATAAAAATATCGGTGAACAGAATATACCACCTAAAACTGTTGAATTAAGTGAGTTCAAGATTTTAAACATAATAATATTAAAACATTAGATCATAATGACAAAATTAGTACAATACATTCAGTGGTAATTTATTTCCATCCAATAACCCATGAACTATCCAATAATCAATCTTATTTACAAGCTTTGCAAGAAGTATTGAAATGTATGGCTGATAAGGTGAGTGTATTTGTTAAATGTTTGCTTTCACTATCTTTTTTTTTTGACAAATTCATAATACAGCGATGATTAAAATATTCTTAGAGTGATTTGTTAGTTACTGCTGTGAATAGTGAAATCTATGTTCGTTTGACTGATCACTTGATTATCACTACTATTTATGCTTGTTTAATGCTTTGTTCTTAATTAAATGCTGTAGTTTGTATTATGCTGAGAAGTTTAGTATTCTTAGAAGTTGACAATATACCGTAAATGTAGTTTGCGTGCTTGCTGATACTTCTCAGCAAGATGTAGTGGTAGTTTTGAAAGGAATGATACATCATGTAGAATTTGTACGCTGAAGTAGGTCAGTAGTTTCTAGAACAGCTCATGAATAACTTCTTGAGATAGAAGGAAAGAAATTAGTTGACTGGTATTTTGCACTATAGTTGAGTCTCGTTGTAGGTTAATGAGACGTTGATACTCATTAGCCAGGTCATTAAGCGTGAGCTTCGGATCTTGCTCTAACCGACATAGCAGCCATGTCCTAATATCACTGAACTTATGGGACTAGAGGCTGCAGATGCGTATAAGGACTTTAAACTGATCTTCCGACAAAGACTTCAACCGAAAGTGTCCTCATTTACGGTTTACTATGCCCACGTGCGTAAGCAAATTATCATCTTCGTTCATAATTAGCTTCAAACATCGATAACAAGTATAAAACAGTGACGAGTTGTCGCCGATGTTGGCTCAATGTCTGGACTGTCTCGGAAAATGAACGATCTCATGGATTCAAAGGCAGGATCAAACTGCAGTACTTGTCCAGCTCACTTGCACCCAACTTTCGAAGTAGCAGCCGAACCTTCCGAGCATCATCTTGGTTGGCGAAATCAAATTTAAATAAATCTTCATAACGCTGAAACCACATGTCAAACGTAACATTGGCATCAGGATCATAATGAAATTCAGCTATGCTATGCTACGCTTAATGACCTGGCTAATGAGTACCAACGTCTCATTAACCTACAACGAGACTCAACTATAGTGCAGAATGGTAGTTCAAGCCGATATGAAGTACATTTGGTACAGCAGCCACCTAATCAGAATAAATCTGTCCATGCTACACCCAGTTCATCCCACTCCAACTCTGCCCAAAAGTCACAAATGAGTCCCCCCGCTGCTTGCTGGCACTGCGGCTCATGGCATTATGTACGGAACTGCTCATTTAGGCAACATCGATGCAGGAAGTGTTAGGTCATCAGTCATAAAGATGGTTTTTACCTAAAGAAAAAGCCGAACAGATCCAGAAGAGCTGAGATGTCTGTTCCTAGATCCGGTACCAATTCATTGAGCCTAATATCTTCCTCTCAAATCTCATCACCAGATGAGAGAAAATTCATTACCCTTAATGTCAACGGGCATTTGTATAGACTGCAAATAGATACCGCATCTGATGTCACCATCCTTTCACGCAAAAATTGGACCAAATTGGGTAGCCCAAGCCTGCAGCACACAACGCAGAAGCCTCGTACAGCATGTGGTAATTACCTTCGTCTGTTGGGACATCTGGAATGTAAAGTCGCTTTCCGAGACTCGTCATTTACTGGGGTATGTTATGTAACGCCAGCTGGTCTAAATTTAATTGTTTTAGATTGGTTCGACCAGCTAAAATTGGCTGATGTCCCGTTAAATATCATATGCCACCTGGTATCACAACCACATGACCCTGAATCATATACAATGAAGCTGATGACGCAGTTTTCAACCATTTTTGGACCTAGTTTAGGTCTGTGCACTGCCATGAAATCAACACTTCTGTTGAAACCTGAGGCTAAGCCTGCTTTCCGTCCAAAGAGACCCATACCTTATGCAACATTAGCAAGAGTAGCTGAAGAGTTAGATCGCCTTCAACGACAAGGAGTTATTACTCCCGTTTCTTACTCTGCTTGGGCAGCATCTATAGTCATTATCAAGAAGGCCAACGGCACGATGCGTATATGCGCTGACTTCTAAACAGATCTAAACGCAGCTCTGGAATAGCATCATTATCCTCTGCCAGTCCAAGCAGATCTGTTTACTATGCTGAATGGGGGAAAGTTTTTCGCCAAGCTTATTTACAAGTGGAGGTAGATGATGCATCAAAAGAGCTGCTTACTATCAATATCCATCGTGGTTTGTTTCGGTTCAAACGTCTTCCTTTTGAAATTAAGACTGCTTCATCTATCTTCGAGCAACTAATGGATACTATCTTATCAGATATCTCAGGGGTTGCAGCTTATCTCGATGATATCTTAATTGTTGTGAAGACGAAGAAAACTGAAGTCTATAATTAGCTCGGAATTGTTATTAACACACTACGATCCATCCATACCAATCATCGTAGCAGCAGACACTTCAGCATACGGCCTAGGTGCTGCTATTTCACATCAGTTTCCAGACGCATCAGAAAAAGCCGTTATGCATGCATCCCGTACACTAACCCCAGCAGAAAAGAAGTACAGCCCATGTGTTTGCTGTTCGCCGTTTCCACAAGTTTCTGTACGGTCGGAGATTCACGCTCCTCACAGATCACAAGCCTCTGTTAGCAGTATTCGGTTCTAAATCTGGCATTCCAGCCCATTCTGCAGATCCAATATCGACGCACTCTACAATTTGGTCAAGCAGACGCTTTGTCACGACTCATTAATGATCAAGTGGCGGCTGAGGAAAACATGGTGATCGCATCTCTGTCAGTAGAAGACCACGTAGAATGTTATCTGAGAACCGCAGTTCGTGCATTACCGGTGTCTACAACTGACATACAAAATGCTTCTAGAAACGACCCCATCATCAAGATGACGGTGAAATATGTCACTAACCGTTGGCTGTCGAAAAAGTTTGAAGGTGACATGAAGCAACTGTATCAGCGGCGGGACTCACTATGCATCGTCAACGATTGGTGTTTAGTGAAAGAGAAGTGGCGCCAGAATCCCTTCTTGCAAAAGTGCTGAGACAGTTCTATCTCGGTAATCCAGGGGTTAAACGAATGAAGTCTATAGCCAGGAGTTATGCATACTGGCCTCACATGGATCAACATGACACAGCGTTAGGTGAGAAATGCATGCGGTGTCAGCAGGCGGCAAAGATGAATGCCAAAGTTCCGCCGGTTTCATGGCCCAAACTCGAGCATCCTTGGTCCAGGATACATGTCGTCTTCGCTGGTCCAATTAATGGAACTATGTATTTAATTGTGGTAGATGCCTTCTCAAAATGGCCAGAAATTAGCCCCGTTATGCCGCCCACTACAACTAAGACGATACAGCTCCTAACTGAGATTTTCTCGCGAAATGGCATACAAGATGTGGTCGTATCTGACAATGGCTCTCAGTTTACTTCCACACAATTCCAAACATTCTGCCAACGACTAGCCACTAAGCACTTACGCTCGCCACCATACCACCTGCAGTCGAATGGGCAAGCGGAAAGGTTTGTGGATACGTTTAAAAGAGCATTGGTTAAGTCAAAAGGGGAGGGGACGCCAGCCGATGCGTAACGAAATTTCTTGTACGTCTATCGAACAACACCAAATGAGTCGTTACCTGGACAAAAGTCCCCGGCAGAAATCCTGATGGGAAGAAGACTGAAGACGATCCACAGCCTGATCCATCCGAGTAATGCACCAACATCAGTAGAGACAAAGCAGCAAAGGCAATCCTATGCCCTGTGTTCGCCCGTGACTACAGTGCAAATCATGGTCTCTGGGTAGAGGCGCGAGTGATCAGAAGAGTTGGGCGAGTTATGTACGAAGTAGAGGTGAGGGGCGATAGGTGGTCACGCCATCGGAACCAGATACGCAAACGGCTAGCACCAGATCGTCCATCAAGAGCAGAGAATCCCCCATTGACATCCTGCTTGATACCTTCCACCTACCAGCAGCCCCCCACGATAAGAAACTCATTCACAAGCTGATCTCTGTTCCAAAAGGTATCCTCTCAAACAGCGGTGAATAACAGTCAAGATGCAAGTCGACCGCAGGAGCGTACGCTATTAAAAAGGGGAGAAGTGTTGGGGATCTTAGATCACCAGAACTCGCTGAGACGCAGTGACACCGAGCCAACAAGCCCACTAGATTCCAGTGCTATGCTCTAGCCAACTTTACAAAACGTGTTTCAATAATGCTGTTGATTTCCATCTTTCTGTAGTGAATTTTTATTACACTTAGCATAGATGAGAATCGGTGAAAAGCAGATCATGACAAGAAGATAAAAACATACGATCAATAATTGAGTATTCAATGTTCTGAGCAAAAACCTAATGTTAACACAATTGCATTTCATCCTAGGTTAACAAAGTAAACTCTTAAATAAACTCATAACTGTCTTGAAATGCACTTACACAAACTTACCATTTCATCTTAGAAAATGAAACTTGTACATTTTGAAACAAGATCACCATTAACTTTATCCGATGCAAAACAAGATATTCAGTATTCTTGTTTATTAACTTTGGAAACGAATGAAAAAAATTTGAATTTAATCTACGAAGAATTACGTAGTTGCGGTTTTGTTTCTGGAATAAATTTACTAAATAATCAGAAAACTGAAGGTAATTTCATAATTTTATTGACAATGCTAGAGTGTTTTATAAATCATTTACTCATTTGATTGGTTTACAACTGACCGTTGAATTCGAACAGTTTTTACTACTGATTGATGTCAAGTTAAATCACAGTGAAAACTAGAGAGTAGTGAACATGAGTTTTGTTTCACTTTAGAACTCGTCCGAAGTGTGCGCTCACTACATACAAACGATGGAACTCAACAATATTTTATGAAATAGTTATCCTGAATAGACCATTTAGTCGACTTTTTCATAAATCAATTCATATATGAGTGCAGATATTTCGTTGCTTTTTAATCCTAGCTTGTTTCTTGTAGAAAAGTCAGGAACTATCTCATTCCATAATAATAAAATAATTATAATTGTTATTAACTTCCCACCCAATGCTCAGCTTACGACAGTCTGTTTTTTTCGATCCAAATCATGAACTGATCAGTGTTAGTCCATTAATAGAATCCTATAATCATTGAACGGTCGTTTTGTTCTAATATGGGACCCATCAACAATGCAACAATCGATGAGGTAGTCGCGCACTATTAGGAATTAACACCACTGGATGTTGGCTTAGTGGTTTAGAGGTCAGGCGTTCGTGTGCGAGACCGAAGGCCCTGTGTTCAGTTCCTGTTCACAGAGTCGCCGATGCGCATAGCTGATAAATCCCTTACTGGGACGAAACGGCCATCTAATGCTTCCAGGTCTCCACTGATGGTCCGACTTCGATTAGTTCATGGTTTTAATAAAACTCAATAACCTCCACAAACTTATACTGAGGATTTTCTTTTCACTGAAACTACAAGTTGCTGAAATCGCTACCAGCTGAGTGAGAGAATCTTATTTAAAAAGTATGTAATAGAGTATAGGATGATCATTTTGAGCTAGAACCAAAAGATATATTGTTAGTCTAGATGGCTGGTGATGTTTAGAGAGTAAAATCAGTCAAGTTTCTTCATTTTTAATATTTAGTAATCCACAGATTAAATTCTTATAATTTTAAATGAAGTGTTTCAAGATTTACAAAACGTAGATTAAGTAGACTGATTAATTTTTACTATCTTAACCGCTATACTCAGCTAGTTAACATTTTTATGCTAGAATCGCGTATAAGATGAACATTTTTTGTTAGGCCTGACAGACACAAATGCTCTAAAGTCCCAATCTTCCATTATCACTAATAATACGATTCTTAAAGATATTTCTATGCGTTTTTACGAATAAGCTCTTCATTATGTTTATTTAGGATATTTATTTGTTTCATTTGAAACAAGAGTTCCAATCGATCGTTTAAACTTTAATAACTAGATAGATATTTCGTTCTTTGGTTATTCTTCGTCTAATTTCTATCAGTTAATCTACCTCAGGTTAATAAAAAGTTTTGATTCATTATGACAAAAGTAGACAATTTCATTTAAATGAATTGAACCAAATAGTAATTTCGCATTTATTGATATTTTCAAACATATTTTTTTAATTTCATGCAAAAGAATGGTATCCTGAACATATTTCTGATTTGGATAAATGTCGACATCTACAACTTAAATTTGAACCTGAATTACAAACGGACCATCCGGTAAGTTTTGTTAATCTGTTTTCATTTTACAAAGTTAATTGTTTATGAGATAGAAAAATGATTTGTAGAAAATGATAGATACAAATATATGTAATCTTAGGATTTTTATCACCATTTCCCACTACATTCAAGTAAAATCAAGGTTTTCTGAGGGATTTGGATAGTAGCTATCAATGGAATGCTCGTTCCATCATTTTGGGACCCGCTAGATCAATATACCTGCATCTCAACGTTGAATCGAACACAATACCTTTCATTTTAGGCTCTAATTAGTTATCTACTGCGTTAGTGATTTAGGTTAGCCATCAATTTTTCCATTTCCCGTTGATGGGGTTAATCGGTTTCTACCTTGAGTGTAGCAGATTCTAACAAAGCTGGATGGATCCATAGAGACTGATTAATTGCTGTGCATAACATTACCAATAGGAAAATATAAAGCCTTGCAATATATATATGTATCAGATGTTTCAAAATGCATTCTCTAGATAATAAATGTTCTTATGTTTTTGCGTAAGCAAAATATTAAGGAGATTTTTTTCTAAATGAGGAAAAAGTAATCAACTAAGTCTCTTTTGTATAATTATCAAAGGAATTGATTTTATGCAGTGGAATCAATGTTAGAATTCTGATCAGTTACTCTTAGCAGTCAAACTGGACAGGACACAAACCTTTATACATTACCATGATTTTCTGTTTATTGAACTCCGTATTGGTAACCTGAATTATTCAGATACCCGCCCTTGTAACCTAATAGTTTTGAGTTTAAACGAAATACCAATTTGATTTTTGGTCAAAAATTAACAACTTCTAAACAGTTGACAAAAGCATTTAGAATATCAACTTCATTTGAAATGGTTAGGGTTCAAGTCCCAGAGTGGACAACTCTGAGATGCAGGTAAATTCAGCTGATGAATCGTAAGCAGGATGAAGTTCACATCCTGGATCGCGCCTTTAGCCACATTCAATGTATTCTCTATCAATTTTGAATATCAGTTTGGATCTGTTCTCATAGCTATAATCAACGTGGCGTGAATATTTAGAACACTTTATTACTTACTTACATAGTGACAATGTGCAAATAACATGAATATTTGCAGAAACCTGACTTTATACTAATGGATTTCACACTTTCGATAAGTTCTAATTTGAAATGAGTTTACAGTATATTCATAGTTGATGTATAAATACATCTATCAAATATTGTCTTATCAATCTTCCTTAGACTGGCTCAAATGAATAAGGTAACAGAATGTGCAAAGTCTTGAGCTCTGGCTCAATGTTTCATTAGCCAGTGGTACACACAGGGTCGATACAGTGTGCAGTATCACGTGAGCACTGTTGAGTAGCCACAGCGTAGGAGAAAACCAGTAGACAAACTGCTAATTCAGACTATGCATTTGCCAACTTCCAGGAATAGAAAAGTTATGAGACAGTCCTCATTACCACTATTATTACTGTCACTTACAGACCCTCTTAATATTAATCAATTAGCTTCTGCTTTAAGCCCTTAAATTTTTATTCGTGATTAGTTGTGTGATCGTACTACTGAAGAATCTTGAGATAAGAAGAAAGAAATTTTCATCAACCTTTATTCAAAAAAATCCTTCAACTGATGATATAGTGTCATGATGAAAACCATCTTAAATGAAAATTACGAAATGTATAAATTTGCAGTTAATGTTTAGATAAGTTATCAAAAGTCGCACAGACGGGGTTAAATTTGAAGGGAAACAAAATTCACTTGTAGACTTTTGTTATCTCCAATAAGGATGTTACTTTAAGCATGGGAAAACTAATCAGTTGATTATATTTTGCCAACTAGATATTGACAAGATAAATAATGCTATTCTTGATTACTTCACTAAAAGAAAAGTTCATTTTATCAATATATTTATAGGGATTTCATGATAAAGTTTACAGAGAACGAAGAGAAAATATAGCGAAAATAGCATTTGATTATAAATAGTAAGTTACTGTAACTCATTCAAATACACTGTACTGGTTTAATACAATTTTATCAGGATTTAAACTGTCATACACTAATTTTAATTTCGAATATTTTTATCTGTCAGCATTATGACGGTTGACGTTTGCAGATAATATTTTTCTTTAGATTGATCACGGAATAGTGACCAGCGTCATCTATCTCTAGTCCTTTTCGCGCTGATCGAACTCGATCAGTCAAGTTACAACGTGGCTACTAACCTAAGTGATATGATATTGTGTACACTGTGAGGTTATTGCAGGTAGTAGACAGGAAACACTGGACGTAGATTTTGTGCTAGTTGACACTCGCTAAGAGTATCAGTTAACTTACTGTCTCGTTCGTTTGCCTGAGTGTAACTAGTCGAATTTAAGACCGATAAAATTACTACAAGAGTTAATAATAGTCTCAAATAAATAAAATGGTTTACATATCAAACAGTCTGTTTTACTTCTAATTGTACGATAGAATACCATCAACCAAGAATACTATAATTAGCTTTAGTGCTAGTTTAATGTATTTGGATCTCATATTACTTCCAGTTAGAACAAGACTCTATCAATCGTCTAAATAAACTATTCATCACATTAGTACATCTAAACTACAAATTCTTCTAAAATAACATGAAAGACTAACAATTTAATGTTCTTTATGCATTGTCATGGAATGAATGCTTAATAACTGTTTATATCTTATGACTTAGTAAGAAGCAATTCATCTGAGAATTTGGCTTACATTCGTCCTTTTAACCACTAGACCTTTAAAATGTTAAACCAAATCAGTATTCTTCTGTTTTAACCGAATGACAACGATTTCACTAATTAATTTCAAAGAACGTTTACATTCCAAGAGTTTCCTTGCTAGAAAAGCTAATAAAATTGCTTATACATTAAACTGAACGCTTATTTAATCATATTCGACGATGGCTCGCATTTGTATTTTGCAATGGTTTGAATACTGTCATTTATTTAAAAGGTATAAAAATTATACAATTAGTTTTTACATTTTCTAGATGAAGTGAACTAGTTTATTCAATCGGACTCTAATGTCTTATGCAGTATGTAGGTGACATGAGTAAGCACAGAGTAAATTGCATGGTATCCTATGCATAATTACATCTGTATTGATTTGATGAGTTAGTGCTATTGTGTAAGGATAAATCTTACAGATAGTCTGTTCATTTTACTGATCCATAACGTTATGTTCGAAAACACGATGAACTTGTCACCTTGTGTAGCCCAATGTAAATGGCTTCACAGTAACAGTCAAACAGATAAATATATTTTTAATTCTTAATTTAGAAACTTGTCCTAATGCGTTTTATCTGACCAATTTGATATTTTTCATGATATATTACTGTAATGCCAAGTTGGCGGAAATTTAGGTACATTGTAATGCTAATATGACTGAGTTTTAATTTCATTATACATATGAGAGAAAAATACAGTTTCATTCATACATGTTTGTTGCCTTTTTTTAACTTCCCATGTGTAGTGGTGAGCGTATACCTGAAGTTGAATATACTGAAGAGGAAATCGAAACTTGGTGAGTGTCAACTTTTTCTAAAGAATATCAACACACAAACACGGGAAATGTGAAGCAAAGTAGTAGTATTAGTAGCAATATTCACAAAGTTTGAAATATTAATGTTCAGCAAAGCAACTTAGCATTGGTTAGTACATTGAAATAGAAGGGAATATACATCTATAAACGTGTATTAAGTGAGTATATCTAGATTTATTTTCTTTAGCCGAGTTACAAAGAAGTTTCAGTGATTTTGTTAAATAAAGCTAGTATCATGTAATCGTTATCACTTCATCACTCGGAAAACGCTTAACTGTAGATTAAGTATTTGTTCAAGTAACCGGCTCCCTTAAGAATACAATGTTGTAACCGATTATAAATAACGTGTCCCAGAGAACTCGTTGACATTCCTAAAATCACTACGCGTTGTAAGATGCAATCGATCACCACGATGATTAAAATATTAGTTTGATATAAACTACTTTTTTGATCCCATCTAGTTTTCAGATAGTTTTATTAAGCCATGTGAATTGAAATCGTATTACTTAGTTTGATATATGACGTTTAAAAGTCAGCGCTATAAGTCTTTAAATCAAGGTTTTGATGCTTATGAGTTATCTGCAGAAAGAGATGGTTGTCGCTTACCAAATTAATTTATCAAGTTCTATATTAGCAGTTTAGCAGTACGGGTGTAATTACTAAATACTGTGAGATTAACATAAAGTGTACATATTTAATGTGGTACAAATACAAGTCTATCACTTAAAAATTTTTCTGCTGTTAAATGAGTTTATCTTTTGTAAAGTCACTTTCATGACTGAATTAGGTCAGTCTTTGTTGATTTAAAACGCCTTATGAATAGATGCCACTTTATTGCTAACATTTACAAACTGGTTGGATCTGATTATTGGTTGGCTGTGAAACTTGATGTGGATGAATGTACATACGTCTTGCTGTTGGCAGTAACAGTAAAATGATTGAGTTCAAAACATTATTATGACTAACAATAAATGTAAAAATAGTTGTAATGATATGCATGCTCGACAAAATTAGGTTTACTGAAGGAACAGAAAGACAAGCATCCTTACATTTTATTGAACATAGTCTGGAAAATTTACATGTCTAAAGACAAATGGTTTTCGTACTTTGATAACACGTTATCTAATGGATAGGCGACTTAAGTCGGACGCAGTAAATGGATTCAGACTAAATTAGAAACAGTCTAACACAGTGTTAATAAAATGTGCCGAAGCCAGCAGCCACTGGAAGACTTTAGTCTAACCTTTGTCTTATAAGGAATTAGTAGTTAAGCTCCAAGTGTTTAGGTGAGCATACTGAAACTTTAAATTCTTCATTTTTCAAATAAAATGTATTTTCCGTATGAAATCCCTATGTTTGTAATACATCACGCAATAAAATTCTCATAAGTCTTCTACAGTTGTCACTCCAGTCATCCGTCAAGACCCGTTTATAACTTTATTTACATTCCAAACAATTTATTCTTCACTAAAACACTTCATTTTAAAATGATTAAACTAATTAGCCCGTTTATAACTAAAGAAAACCTAAAGCAACATAGTTAATTCATCCAGTTCTCCCCGTATCAAAATATGACTTCTGTTGATATGGTTGTTAGCCATTGAAAATGGCATGAAAAGAAGTGACCATTATGAATTTATTTCGTTTTCTTGGATTCATAAGACTCTTCAAATTCCATTTGTATTTTCTGTATATTCAGTAAGAAGTTAGCATGAAATTAGCTCCTGTCATAGATCAAAATTGAATGAAGCACGATGGTTGATTATAGGTGTTCCGTCCTAGCTTGAAACTTCTTAGAAGCGATCACTTAAAAAAGTCCATGAAATTTAGTCTATGAGCTTTCACGTTTTCGATCAACAGGACGTGTTCAGATAATTAAAGCCATGTCGAAAATTTATCCTAAATACCCTACTTTTGTTTAAACATTGAATCATTAATTAGTAGGATTGAATAAGAAAAAAGCAGTCAGAGAAAATCTTAATGTTAAACCTGCACTATTATCACTTGCCATGCATGTATGCTCCCTCCACTTATCATTATGGATGTAAGTAAAGACAGTTAAAGTAAACCTTATAAGTACACCTTGATTTGTTATTTTGCATCAGATTTACGATTGAATTTGAAAAACGGAAAGTTACTGAATACACGATTCAAAGCAATTACACCGTTGTAAGAATCTAATATACTAATACCTCACGGAGTTCTTTGTCAGGCCGTGATTTCATTGAGAACGGTACCTTAGTGACATTATCAAGTCATATCGCCTTCGTTATAATTCAATAGTCAGTCAATGTGTATTGAAGATAATAATGGCTTATTCCTGTTATTGTAATAGTTTCAACTCAGTTAGTCGAAAATGAACAAGCTTATCTGACGAGACTTCAGCTATATGCGACAACTAATCTAGAAATTATTGTAAAGTTATTACTGACTAGGCAAGGCAATGCAATGGATAAAATAAGTTTTTGTAAGAAGATGTTAACTTAAACAAGTAAGGAACATAAAAACCAAAAGGTTGTGGAAGTTCTCCAATTACAGCGCTAAAATTTATTTCTCTTTATGCAAACAAATTACTTTTTTTCATAAAATGATAAACTGTTGACTAACAACAATATGACATACTTTTATACTTTATAAATATGTAGGGGTTTAGTTTTCAGAAAAATGAAGGCTGTCCATACTACAAGAGCATGCAGAGAATATATTGACGGATTTCACCTCCTAGAAAAATATTGCAATTACAATCCTGAAAGCATACCCCAGCTTCAAACAGTCTGTGAATTTATGCATCGTAAGTTCCAAAAAATAAAGACAAAAAGTACATAGATAACCAGTGTTTTTGTCAAATAACAGTTTCAATTTCATTTTATTTGTTTTAAGACGGGTTTCGGAAACTTTAATACTGAAAAAAGACAACGACTCCTGATTAAGGTGTAAATAGATAGTACGTTGACCAAGCCATATAGCTCTGCATTTTAAAAGGTCATAGATTGCATAAAATCACAACGAAATTCACTCATGTCAACAGTAATAAACGATCCTGACAATTACTCATCTAATGCATATATGTAATATGTCCATATAATATGTGCGACTAAAACTGTAGTATGAGAACTGATATTTAAACCATAAGACTTGCAAATTTAAGAATAGATTCAGAAGAATCTGTTAAAAAAATGCTATATTTTATGACTAGAGTTCCACCCATTACTCAGTTCGCTGGAAAATTAACAAGTTAAAACTTGATATTAGATATGTAAGAAGTAATGAGTTTGAAAAGTGAAAAACTGATGAAAGAAAGTGATTACTCTCTACGTATCATCAATTGTCGGTTGCTTGATCAGTCTTCTTCCAATATCATGCAGACGAATGTGTTACTCAGAAAACTTGACAGAATTAGTTCAAAAGTTTGTTTAGTGATCATTACATTGTTTCTGTTACAAGACACACTGATAAACCAGTATCATTATAACAGTTAATATCAAATAAGTTGAATCATTTTGGATTTTCACTGAATAAAATAAATTTCCTGATTAATTACATTATTATCGCTAATGTCTAGTTCATTGTGATAGGTTGCTGGTTAACACAAGTTGAAGTTCAAAGTTACTGACGATTACCAATCAGCATGTTAATATCTATCTAATGATGGCTCCATACCACTTAACATAGGATAAAGGCATACTGATATTGGTTTAAATGTTTACTTTTTCACTGCATAGAATACTTTCAGTTTGATCTAGAGAGTTTCCATTATTGTGTCGAAATTGGAAACTCAAAGCTCTACAAAACATCTATTCTATTCTTTATTTTAATAGCAAATTTGCTTAATGAAACATTGAATGAATAGTTACATTGGTTCAGCAACTTGTCTTTCATCTATACATAAAATACAGTTTTTCAGAAAAATTGTGTAGTTTCAGCACTTTAACACGCATATTTTCTGTTTTTGGGACTATTGACTGTATACATTTACATTTGTCTTATTTAGAGTTGTGTGTATACTCCAAACTATTGGGGTAACTTACTATGAATGAAACTGATTAGATGCTTCCTTTGCATTTGCTATAAAGATTGATTCTTATATTTACTTTAATGACAGTTTGCAATTTCGTCAAATAGGATAATTTATATTGCTTTGTAGGCACATCAGGATTTCGTATTCGACCTGTTGCTGGTTTAGTTTCACCAAGAGATTTCTTGGCAAGTTTAGCGTTTAGAGTATTTCAATGTACACAGTATATACGTCATCATTCGCGTCCTTTCCATACACCAGAACCGTAAGTTAACATTAACAATATTTTATTGAATTATAAATGAAAATATAAATTTCTGAAAAATTCTTATGACAGTCAATGATTATTTTGACAAACAGTATTCGGAATATAGACTTCAGTTTATACAATATTTCTGCCAAGTGTTGAGATAAAAAATGAACAAACGATTGAAAAGCAAACAACTTTATCGTTAAATAAATGCGCGGCTCAGTTGCATTCACACAATAACAGTTGTTCCTAGTAATTTGAGGCTACACAAAAAGTTTTGTAAATTATGAACAATAATGGATAACATCTATACTTTGACTTAATATTCTCCTACCGTATTTAAGTCAACCACACTACGAGTAAAACATCAGTAGAAAAAACTTGATACAAACATATTTAACCAAAAATGCAATTTCTGCAAAAATAACGAACATCAATAGTTCTAATACTGCGTCTGCGTTGAGATAAGCATTGGGAGTTTTCACGTTCATGTTAGTTATTTCTGCAGTTATTTTATCAACAGTCATACTGTAAGATCCATTTTTGAAGGCTTTGTGTGTGAAAATCCCTCCATGTATATATCTCTAATTTGTTCTTATTGATTCCTTCAGTTGTATATTTTGTTAGTTTGTTTGATCGCATTTGAGATGGTACGATTTGTATTTTATTATAGTTTCTATTTCTTTTGCATTCTCTGAATTTCTATGTTTCTTTCTGAACTGTATTTATGTTGTTTAAGCTGATACTTTGTCATGGCGACAGCCATTTTGATTTGTTCCTCTTTTGATTGTGTCGCTTGCCTCGACTGGAATTGTGCATTTTAATTGTGAACTGAAGCAATCTTCCAGAATAAGACGCACTTTGTGTTATAAAGAGACCAAATATTATCTTTCGAACGAATCTGATCTATCCAGAAAGGATAGAATAACATTTATTTGTTGCCGTTGATTTAATTAATTGAACAATTGTTAGAGGAATAACTGAGTGTTTAGGTAATGATGTACATTTATATTTATGTTGAATATTGGAACCTTCATTTACCCAAATCACTTGTTTTGGTTTCAACTGGGCAATAGCGCGTATTTAAAACTACCTAGACAGTTATTTCTCAGTCCATACCTCAGTTTGGATCCTGCACATACTGTGGTGTTTGCTACTTATACGAACTATATAAGTAGTATAAGAAGGGACGTGAAAGAAGTCTCACGGTCAGAAGAGGAAAACGGAAAGCAAATGGAGCAAAAGCAAGAAGTAAATGGAGTACCGACAGGAATGAAAGGAAGCAACAACAGGAATGGAAGAAGGATGGAGCGTTGGAAGTCACGACTCAAAGATGGTGTGCAAATAGTGCTCAATGTAACGTTTTCGTTTTTAATTGACTCAGAGTGTAAATTTATCCCAGTCTTCTCGGTTCTACTTCATTCCTAATCGTTCTTCAAAAGTTTTTCAAATAAAATTACTCGTTTAATGAAATTTGTTTCTTTCATACTCTAAGAAGTAATAGCCGGTATTTCCAATAAATATTTTTAAATCCCAACGAAAAGTTAAGGTTTAGGGTGGAGTAAGAGTTAAGATCGTTTTGTAAGGAGAGTATATTGTCCTAAATATATCATATTAAAAAAACAGACATCAACTGTCATAATATTAAGAACTGACTTAATTAAACAACAGCAACATGATTTTAAGAGCTTTTCACTTAAGGCGGAAAGAAGAATGTGGCAACTTTTACGATATTTATCTATTAATCTGTTGTTGTTGTACAGTTTTATGAAATCACACTACACAAATAATTCACTACTCATTTAGGGATTGTATTCACGAACTCCTTGGTCATATGCCAATGTTGGTGAATAAAAAATTTGCCGACTTCTCTCAGGAATTGGGTTTAGCATCTTTAGGAGCTTCTGAAGAAGAAATTACAAGGCTATCAACAGTAAGTATACCAGTGTGATGTATACTTTTTAATATTTTTTTCATGTTAAATATTTAGAGGAATTGTTGGATTTACGTTTCGTACTTAATAATACTCATTAACCAGAGAACTCTGATATCATAAAGAAAGTGAATTTGCTTGTGAGATTCGAACCCCATATTTCCCCGTACCACAAGCAGAGACATTAGCACTGAGTTAGTTGAATAGTGATTCACTCCATTTCAGATTGATGCGCTGACAAGTGAATAGTTAGAGAATGGTATTTGATCTATCTACCTATCAGCAAATGTGACCTCAGTTAATATTCGGTGATCATAACAACTAGGCTCTGACGGCCCAACCTCAGAGATTTTCAAGGGTGGTAGTCCCGTTTCAGATGTTATACTAGCTGACATATTAGCTAGAATCAGTGAGCTGGTCTCGATATCTAGTCATTCCAGTCTATAAAAATGGAGATAAATCCTCCTGTGGCAACCACATAAAAATACCTTTAACTGATATAGTGTCTAAAGTACTGGATTCAGAATCCCTCAACACCTAAATGAGATTGGTGAAGAACAAATTAGGAAAATCCAGAATGGTTTCAGGTCTGAAAATGGACATCCGAAAAAATTTTCGCCCTTCGTCATTTTCTGAAACACAGACATTAACGGAACGTTCGATTACATCAGTAGACAGGTTTAAAGTATATTTGATTGGAAGACCTTGTACAGGCTCCAGTAGAACACTGCTGATAGAAATATAGATTTGGCAAACGTTCATCAGAAATTCTAACGAAATTCTAACAAAATCATCCACATGAGTTCCGCTATCTCGAATGATGCTCTTTGGGGTTTATAAGTTTCTCCATTTTTATTAAACTTGGTCACAGACGTTCTTTTGGAGACAACACTATCATCATTTAAATTTTTAGATGAAAGATGATAACGTCTAAATTACTATTTTGTTAGGAGTAAAGATGTACATTACATTAACCTTTTCAATAGCCACTTTTGATATACAATAATAGGTAATTAACACCCACCTAGAAAATTATTCTTAAATAAACCGAAAGGACTATAGATATTCCTGAAAAAAAATCTCAGAGTACTTTATAACGACGTAGACCCAAGTAATTGACAATTATAATTTAGTTCAACGGTAAACTAAATTCTTTTTCCTTTTAAGTGGTCACGAAAATGACAATATGACGAAGCATACATAGTTCTAATATTTGAAGTCATATTATGGGACATTAAATATTTTATAGACGTCTTGCAAGGAGAATATGTTATATATGTGACCATACGTTTATTTTGTGGTATAACCTCACTATCATGGAATCCCTACTTGTCACCTCACATATATCTAAATCAAGTTCTAGTAATGACCTCTTTAGTGACTGGTATCGATATTAAATCTGAAAGATTTAATAAGTAGTATGGACCCTTGTTGACCATATCTGTGAGTCGCGTTTAACTAATAGCTATGAAATTAAGTTGAATTATATCTCGGATTGAAGAAGGTTGAAGATACGGACTATCAGCTGTTCATCATTTTCGCTACTCTATGCTTGCGCTAATTATGATACGACGCGATCCAAGGTCCTTCCAAGAAAGAAACAAGAACTGAAGGTAACAAGGGGTGCTTTCAAAATTAAAAGCGATTTATGGACATCTAACATCGTCGAAATACCAATACCTCCAAAGGTTCGATTCGCTCAATTTTATCGAATTCTGATTATTTCTATATTCAACGTTAGCTTGTTGCACAATGCTCATCAACGAAGTGATATCCACAACTCTCTAAGATACAATATAACTACTGCAAATAGGGAAATAAGCATTTCAAAATCAAAGCTATGAAATTCAAGGAAAACAGTCCATCCACGATGAAGAGTCATTGAGGTTTTATGATAGGATCGCAGATTTCAAACACCAAAAGACTTACTAACATAATGCTTGGATATAGTCTAACTGAGGATTTTGAAGAAAATTAGAACATTTTGTGCGAAATCAAACTTTTTAATTATGTAAAACTCTTGCATCCCCAGATGGGAAAATACAACATACTTTGAACAATGATCGTCAATCATTAGATGATTTAACATAAACTTATTTTTTTAATTACAGTTATACTGGTTTACTGTTGAATTCGGTTTGTGTAATGAGAATGGTGAAACACGTGCACTAGGCGCTGGAATTATGTCATCATACGGGGAACTGGAGAATGTGTTCAGTGATCAGTCCGAAAAACAACCTTTTGATATAAATAATGCAGCAGTACAAGAATACGATGATGTTGGTTATCAAAAAGTCTATTTTGTAACTGAATCTATTGAATCAATGAAACAGGAACTTCGGTTTGTTTTTATTAAATGTTTTTTTTAATATCTTTCGAAGGGTTATTGTCATAATAAACATTTTCACAATGAGTAGGATACCACTTATAAGTTTCACAAAGCTTTTTCATATATTCGTTCCCACTAAAAACGCTTGACCTTATGTATGTAGTTGGACATAAATTTGTGGTTGAATCGGTGTCATAAGCTGAAGAAATACTTGTAAAATAATTCATGAAATGCTCTGAAATTTAGACGAAATTTCATCGAAAACAACGATTAAATATAAAGCGATTTATATAGGAATTCCTAAAACAATGTAAAAGGAATATTTCAAATAGTTTGTCACGAATGTAACACTGTTTTTATCAGAGTAGGGCATGACTTATTCTAATGACTGTTAGAAACTATGAAATCAACATTAACGACTTTCTGTTGATAGCATCAACAAATAATAACTAGAACAAATTAGTTAATTTTTTTCAACTGACTAAACAATGTACTAGTCAATACTTTCGATAATCCGTACGTTAATTCTTTATACAAACAAGTTGGATGTTTCAGTTTCTAGTGATGTTACATCTGCTCTGGTATTACGTTTTATTTAATCATGCTTATAGCTTAAAACCTCAATCAATAGATTCTTAATAATGAAAGAGAGTAACATCGCTTCCTGATTTCAGATAACTGTAAATAAGCAAATCCCTAAATCGACGAAGATAAATATAATATTTTCTTATGTGCTAAATTAGCAGATTGAAAGCATTGGGGCATTCAGAGTTGCATCACGAAAATGCAGTTTTTCGTATGAGTAATTCAAAAACTGAATTAATTTTAAAATGAAAATGATTTAAAATTTGTGGGCAGTGAATGGTTGAATAGTTCTACTGTTAGACTGTAAGCAATATACACCAACAACACTGTCAGAGACTGGGAATAGGACCTCCTGGTTTCACAGTGATCAGTTAACCTTTAGAATATTGGGTTGGCCTTCAAGTGATTCTGATTTCTCGTTTCAGTTACCAATAATACCAGAGTGGTGGCTGAAATGTTTGAGCCCCAATGAAATTAGTTATTAGTGAGAACACGATAATCTTTGTGGCAGATAGTGCGTGGAGATATTTTTTATAATGTGGTTTTGCATCACAGAATAATTCACTGATTGTACAAATGTTTCATGAATAAACATGAGCAAATAAATAAATTCTGTAAGAATATAAAGTAAAGGAATTAGTTTAACTAATGATTTATTGAAACGATAGGATTGTTCTACTGAATTAAAAATATCATCGGTGCGCATTGTTTTTCCAGTTATTGTCACCTGACATATCAATTCTCGGAAGTGATTTTTTGACTTCTGTTAGTGTAAAAATAGTTTTACAACTGCAGACAAAAAAACACGATTATACTGTCTGCAACAAGAATAATTAAACAGCAGGATCATTCAAACAATGTAACATTATAGACTTTTGGAATTTAAAAGTATAAAATCATGTGCCTGGCAAACGTAACAGTTTAAAATGTCGACAGTGAAATAACTTAATTCATATGAATATCGTTTAGGTTAAGATTTGCAGAATGCATTTGCATGAGAATACCGACAAAAAATTTAGCATGATAGATGGATTGAAACAGTGAACTGTTAATGGATGAGTTAAAAATTTCATAGTTTTCAAAGTTTTTATTTATTTCATAGTTTTAAAGTATGAAATTAACTTGATTTGTTTTAAAAACTAATAAACATCAGACAATAGTGGTCAATTTTTTTTACCTATCAGTAAAATCCTCAAAAATTGTAAACACTAATTAGTAAAAAGAAATGATAATTAATTCGTACATGAGAAAAGATTGTTCTGATTTTTATTCTGTAAAGATTTGTCACTAACTCCAAGTCTAATAGGCTTGAAACAATCACCAGTAGTAAAGACCAACAGTTTCGGTATTCAAACAAGCTACTGAAACGGAACATCAGTAAGTAAAGATTACAACTTAAAAAAATGGGGAAATAGAAAGAACATTGACTAAATCCTGCAGCTCGCGGTATTCGCATCTGCTGATGAGTCCCATGCCGGGACGAGACGACCGTCCAGTGCTTCCAGGTTTCTAACGGTAGTCTAATGATGACTGATTGATGATCTCGTTGTGTAAAAACACTAATTTCCATAATTCTAATTGGAAAATCCAATTAAGTCATGTATTTTTACTGATTACAAATGAATATGTGTATCCAGTTTTAATTTCAAAGATCTGTTAGGAATTTATCAATGATTAAACATATTGTGATGCGCGCTACTTATAAGTAGTATATGACGCGAGTAAAAACGTAATGTCTGGCAGCAGAAGACGGGGGAACATCAAGAAAGGAAGAGCGGCAACACAATGGGATTCGTATGAAACGCATGAATAATGAAATGTCAGACAATGGATTGATGTTTGCAACAGGAACAGTCCAGTTCGATATGATGGATTGATATTTTGCAAATTAACGATTTACAATGTGGTTTTTCCATTTTACCAATTAACTCTGTAATTTGAGATAAATACAATTGGGTTGCCCTCATCTGTGTTCTCCTTCACTACAATATGGATTAGGTTCTACAAATAACAGTTACCAGAGACATTTAAGTGGTTCGTAATTACGCTACAAATAAATACCAACAACAAATAATTTCCCTCTTTTATTTTTTTTAAAAAAAGTAATCATCTTTAGAAGCTGCGTTTTTTTCATCAATCATTCTTATTTATTTATTTTTTTTTTTAGAAATTATATAAATGCATCCACAAAATCAACATTTCCAATTTATGATCCAATCACAGAAACGGTGCATATGAAATCTAGATTTTCTATTCGACAAGAAATTGTACAACATATGAAAGAAGAGATTGGTCAATTGGATACATTGCTTTATCCTCCTAATTATGCAATATCATGAAAAATTCGTATCAATAAATAATTAAAGTTCACCGTCAATGTACGAAATTGAAAAAACAGTCATTGAATAAAAAAAGCATTTGATGTCAGATATACGAAAGTTTTACGACTTGGAATAAATGTAGTTTATTGGTTATTTGTCCGTAAACTAAAGTTAGCGTCGTTTGTAATAAAATACTTTGCTTTACCTAGATTATTGATATTAATATCGATTATAAAGCATAAAAGTCCAGAGACTAAATAAAATTAGAACGCACGAAGACAAATTCATTCCGAATTTGTAAGTGGTATTCTTCAGTGACCGACTGGGGTTAAGATGTCGAAGGAGCACTTGACAGCTGTTTCATTTTAGTATAAGGATCTTCCATACTATTATGGCTCAGGTTACAGGTTCATCTTGTTGATGAATGCCGAATAGCACGAAAACTGGGTACAGGAATTCTTGTCGGCAATTTCCAACCATCACGTTACATCTCAAAATAGTGAGAGCGATGTTGACTCACCTAAATTAGTGGCCATATTACTACTTGATCGATCAGTACCAAGAAGGACTCGACACATGAGAGGACTGACCACTGAACAGTGGTCGATTAATTGTAGAAACAGCTGGCATATGAGAAGAAAGTTGAGAAATTCTGGCAGTCAACAAGACATATTTTACAGGAGCTATCAAACAACGCCACAGTGTAAGCCTATGAACAAGGAGAACGTGCATATACGTTGGCCGTAATAGGTTACTTTTATGTTAGAGATGTGACCATTAGTATGTTGGATCTGAAGTTAATTAAGTTCAAGAAAGTTGATAGACGTTCTACTGATAACATGGCCAAAAGTAAAAAATAACTGTTTAGTATTAGTTGTGGTTCGTTTGAATTAGATGAGTTAGAAAGGATTGATTAAAAATCTTACTTAAGTATTCATTTTGTCAGAGTGAAAGATTTTCAGAGAAAATCAGCCGACATCTGAGGATAAATTAAGCTATAATTTTTAAAAAAATTCTAATCATAAACATTATACAAACCCCAAATACAATCGTACTATATACTATAGACAATGGATGACATTTGGTAATTTTAATATTTAGCTTACATTATTTAACTAATTTGAACGATAGAAATTAGTGCACATTTCGAATTTGTAAACATTGATAACTTTTCAATAATAAATGACACATAAAAACTTTTTGTTAGTGTGAATATTTATGTTCGTCTTTCTTATATCAACGCGTTTTACTGGCTTGTCACTCATCTTGGAAATTATTTGTCAATCAAAGAAAATCGGGTATGTGTAGAAAGCTAATCCTAAGTAAATCATTAGTTGGTAGCCTATAATAGCTTTGCGTAAACATAAATCAACTGACAATGTTGTTTAAAAAAAAACTGTAGTGGAATTCGTTAGAATGACCAGTTGTTACTCTATATTAACCGGATACGATGTCAGCAACGCATAGGTTTGATTTATCGTATGGCTGTTAAAGGATCTTGACGTTCACCATCTTTAGTTATTGATAAAAACAAATACAACTTAGTCCTAATATACGTGTAACTATGAATCAATTACAGTTTTTTACAGGAAATAAACATTGATAATTTTACTGAAGAAATTTAATTGTATTATTATTTTATTACTGATAAATGTAATTTATATACGAAGCATAGATTTGTACGCTCTGATCTGCGTTACATTGTGTGTACGAATATCTTCTACTCTGACCGGCCATGTTTCATAGCCATAAAGTGGGACAGAGCGAACTACTGCGCAATACACTCGTCCTTTGGTTAGCAAACGCATAGCTCGCCTGCGCCATAAGTGACGCAGGTTGGCAAAAGCCAATCGAGCTTTCTGTATCCGTACTGAAATTTCGTCAGTCACTAGGCCATAGCACTGATGAGACTCCCCAGATAGTGAAGTGGTCAACACGCTCAACTACTTCACTCCTTATCACTCGTTCAGGCGCCGGTATAAGCCAATCCTGAAGCAACATTTTGCATTTCGACGGGGAGAATCGAATCCCGAACATGCTTGCATTGTTACTTGGAGTAGTCAGGAACACTGCATTTTATCAGCGTCTTCACCGAACAGAACTATGTCATCAGCATATTCTAAGTCAACAAGCGTGTGCCCTGGTAGAAGGTCCATTCCTGAAAAGTCAGACGATGCTAATATTAACTCTAAAAGCATATTTATGACAAAGTTAGGCAAGAATGGAAAGAGTGAACAGCACTGACTCACACCGCTTGAAGTAACTGATTCCGATGACAGTTCGCCATAAGCTCTCACTCAACCAGTGGTGTTCGAGTAGAGGGCTCGTACAAGGTCAATGTACTTCTTTGGTACACCTTTTAATGACAGACAATACCAAACGATTAAGAGTCGAATTCCGCTTTGAGGTTGAGAAATACTACTATTGTGAACGAGCGTCTGTGTTCTAGAACCTAACGTAGTGTGAATTTCTGGTCTATACATCCTTGTTCGGGTCAAAAACCAGTCTGGTTTTCTCGAGTCCGCTCTTCACGAGCTCTATTTGGGCCAGTATTTTAGATACTATATTGGTTACATCAGCTTGCCGTTCAGGTCGACTGGTGGTCGTGGGCAACCGAAGTGTGGCTGAAGGCCAGTTGAACTGATAACTAAAGTGTTCTGCTCATGGATCCAATCTCCTGGACTCAGAATAAATTATACAATCACCCTTTTCTGAGATCGTTTCGCTAAAAGGTGGATTTCTAATACCGGTTTCCTAGATAAGTCGAAACAGCTGCCTGCTGTTACCTGACATCACTGCTGTTTCTGCAGCTTTTTGGACATCATTACATGCTGCCTCGACATAGTAATCACTCACGTGGCCGCCTGTGTTTCTGATTGCTCCTGGAATATATTCTTAGCTATGCTATCACTAAGTAAAAACCTAAGTGGTTTATTTGCGATGTCTTTGTTTCCGTCCAATAAGCCGCAGAAAAATACGCGCACGCACTAGAGCATGATCTGAATCTAAGCATTTGCTCCAGAATGAGAGAGTCCCCTATGGAACCCCTCCATCAGTGACTGATAGCGATATGATCAAGTTTTGTCCAGCGTTGGAACAATTTTCGGAGGTCTCATTACGATTTTAGTCGCTTATACTAAGCTGCACTGTTTTACCTTTATTTGCATATATATAAACTTTAATTTATGTCGCAGATCCTTAAAAAGCGGTATATTCTAATAATCAACGATTTGATGTTGTCATTAACGAATTCAATTTTCAGACAGCAAGCAACATGTACAAATATTTACCAATCAACTAAGATTGCTAATCATCACATGTAAAGCGTGAAGCACAAATAAATCGTGCAAAACTTAAAGTTAGTCGCTGAATTACTCATTACGTGTTTTTGTTTGTGATGATATCATTTTGTCCGTATCGATTCCCATCATGGTACGATAGAGATAATCTAATGGGGCAAATTTCACGTAACCGATGGTGGTTTTCCTTAGTAATCACTACATGAGTCAATGAGCCCTAAACAACGTTGCCAGATCGCATGAGAACAACGCGATAAAACTATGAAGAAAAATAATAACAGCACCAACGACAGTAAACAGGGATGAAAGATAAACAGTGTTATTCCGGACGAATAGCCTTGTTGAGCAAAAACGTATACGGTAATTTAAAAAAAATCAAGATCTAATGATAGATGGACGTACACTATAATGACCTATTCTGAGTGAATGTCATCATTAAATAAAGGTGAGAGCCTATTAACAAAGTGAATACATTTATACAAAAGATAAAAGAGTGAATACTTTGAAAGAATTTATTGCTATGATTTTTATTTTTTAATCTTGTATAATTACATAATTTCTTCGTGTTTAATAGTTCTTCACTTTAAAAAGTGTACCACAAAGTCATAGAAATAAATATTGACAAATACAAATAGTTAGTTAATATAATACAAAAGAGGAGAAACAGAGTAAAAGGGTAACATGATTAGAATGAACCGCATCATGAAAACACAATTACGTACAAATAATTAGCCAAAAGTATTTGTTGAAGACAGGGCGAATGAACATGTATATGCATTGCAGAGGGGAAAAATTTGTCAAACTATGCACATAGAAAACATTTACAAATTTGATGTACACGTTATATTTGCAAATGTGTAAAACAAAAAAGTGGTGCTTTTTATCAGGACCAAGTGTTTTATTTGTAGCGGAACATGAGGAGAGTTGTGTCTTGGGTGCAAGTGTTATAGGCGCATACAATTATTTACACGTACAAAACGACATACAAGGTAGGCGAATGAAGAATACAGAATTCTGATAAACAAGTAAAATGCAAAGCTTCGAAGAAACAAAACACACACATTGCACATTTAGCGATTACAGATAAAAAAAATTGTTCGAAAGAGGGAGAAAAAAAAAGAAGTCCAAAATGAAGGTAGATAAACGGAACTTCACAAAAGACTGGCAAGATTGTTTCGTTTGTGTGGACAGAGAGACATATGTGTATATACACATATTTGAATCGATTATACACATGATCACTATCATGAAATGTATTTCTGTCATTAATGGATCATTCAGTTTCAACTGATGATTAATTTCAATCTTATTCTCACAATTGTCTCTACCGTTCCACTTCATCTGAAATCTTTCTATTAAAGAAACAACTTTTTCATTGTTATTCCTACTATTTTTGTACAAATTAACCATTTCCGCAAATAAGATGACAGAGAAAAATGAATGTCGAATAGATGAAATGAGAAATTCGCTATATATTATTTTCCTTCAGAAAATATTTTCTTATACAACTTGTTGAAAGGGACTTCACGGTAAATCGATTCAGGTGATGAGAATCTAGGGAAAGAAAATACTACAACCACTATACGATCACAGTTCATACAAAGCAAAAAGGAGAAGAAATATGCATGATGTCGACACCTACATACACGTGTATCCCATAAACATGAATCGATGTTGTTATTCAGTGAATTTTAAATCTGATGTCAAATATTTCTCAACTTCAATTAACGAATTATTTGCATCGATCATAAGCTAAATGAATTGGAAAGAACAATAAGAAAGGTTAATGTGCATAAATATCAAAAGATATTTGAAACAATAACAAAATTGGCATTGTTTCATCGAATAAGTCGTCATTACTAAATTCTTTGTGTTGATTGAAATTACTCGGTCAATTTGTACAATATGTGACTATTAGTCTAAATGAATATAAATACCAAGGTGGAAGTGTTTTTGTTTTGTGATGTTATAAATAGTTGCCGAAATTTTCATAAAATGAAACAAACTAACATGCTTCACGTTCACTTAAATAACAATATAAACATTTAACTTGGTAACGATTTGAATTGTGAGGTCGTGGAACTGCGTTCACGATTAAACCATTCACTTCAGAGAACGAAACTCTACCAGAATAATGCGAATTTCAATCTTCCAAGGTGTATTATATATCTCGGAGATTGCCGATACGACTTTGAAACGAAATCTAACATGGAACATAAGCTTAAAGTAACACATGTAACACGACGAATTTAGATAAATTTAGATATAAAAATGTAGGTGGCGTACTTTCACATACATTGCTGTGACAGTAGATAGATAGAGAGAGAGAGAGACTATCGTCAAATATCATGACTGGGAATGTTTTTTCAATTTCGAGCTAAAACGAATTATTAGATATGTTTGTATTTTTTTTTCTTAGACTTTCATAAAACATTGTCATTCAATGTTATTTTTCGAAACAACAAAACAAGTAGTTGAAGATGGTGTATTTATTATAATCCAGTGTGGGCAACAGGTATATACCACTGTGTACCTGCTAATTTGAAATATTACTATAACATCAAAGTAAAACCGTTTAAACTACTATCTTCAATGTAGTTCCAATCTTATAATTCCTTGGAATTCAAATTAACAATATCCATGTGAACAGTGATAATGTTGTAAAGTTAAGGTTAGTTCTTTAGTTCACAAACAAAATAACTTCAAATCATAATTCGTGCACTCGTTCACTGAAATACCATCAAAACAATGGTAAATTGTTATTTAACCGAACTTCCAATCAATGTGTAATAAGTTAAAGTATACACAGAAAAAACACTACTCCAAAATTCACTATTATAATACAATATGCATTAATTATCATTGTCGCTGTGATTATCACTGCATATTCTTCGTATACTGACTGATTACTGGCTAATGAGGACTATCACATATATCAATTCTTCCTTAGTATTGATCTACTTTTTATTAATCAAGCTGCCATTAGGCTGAGTGACCCAACATCAGGTGCATTATTATTTTTCGAAGTAAGTTAGTTGAAGGTAGTTGACAGGAAACCCTAACTGACCTACAACCTTGTAACTGTCGACACTCGTTAGCAAAACAAACTTGCAAGCTCAAGAGTATTAAGGCTCTTTACATAGGATCCGAACACGAGTTGACTAGTTTGACCATCTAACATATCTATATTTGAAACCCCTTTTCTTAAATTCATCAGTAATTTGTAAATGATAGTTAAAACAATACAAATAATTATCTGTTCAATTTCAGCAAAGAATAAAACAGCGATAAAAAAAATCATTTTTATCAATAAACTTACTTCGTCTAATTGAAAGTAAAGAAAAACTGATTGTATTTTAGTTCGAATTGAGCGTGAAAATGGATAGGAACCAAGTAAATCAGCAATTATTGTATATGTACATGCATTGAACGGTTGTATAGAACCTTTGGAATTTTGTTGAGTAATTATAGCCTGATGAATAATTCTGTCTAATGTGTTACAATTATTATCATGAGATGATGAAGAGGAGAATACATTCGATGATAAATTAGATATGGAATCTAACAGTTGATTACACCACAAATCTTGTTCAGTAACCGGTTTGTCAGATTGTGAATCTAGACAGAATTATTTTATTTGAAAAGAAACAAACACACACGCACACATGTAGGCATTAACAGATAATATTGTGTACTTATTTTATGCATACCGATTGAGTATAAGAATAATTATAAAAAATAATGCATTTGTGAAAGTTACATGTCAATGATAATAATTTGATCAGCATAGTAATCGGCAAACACTTCGTACTGCTTAGTTCCATGTTAGAATGAGACAACTATCTGGTGCTTTGGGGTCTAAATCAATTGTCTAACTAAGGTCAGTCCGTGATGTAATCAATGGAACAGAATAGTGCACTATCAAGAAGCTTCAGTCGAATTCCTTTTAATGAATTCACAAGCGGAGTAAAGCAGAATCCATGAGTTGTATTAATTAGGTTATTTGAAAGTTCTTAAAATTACTGTAGCAATTATTCTTTTCATTTTACAGATAGCATCTAAAAAATGTTCATAAAGCTTAGCCAATACAATTGCACTACTTTCAGAAGCTTTAAAAAAAAAATTCAAACAGGGTTAGCGTGACAAAATCAAGTGAATTTTACACGTTGTCTGAAACAAATCTTGCTGCTTTGTCACATCTTTGCATTAGTCATTTGTATTTCCCTTTAACCGCATACATTTCAATAGGTACAATGGCAAATTTCATCGTCTATTAAAAGCAAACAGGTGATTAGAATTATTCCCCGACGATTGCACTCATATCTTGTCTAAACTATAAAGTTATAATCTGACAACCAGTTAGCTTCATTCAGTATTTGTAACTGTACGAACAGCATAATACCAACTTATGAAGTAATTAGGATGACAAAATATGGGTGTGTTTGTTACACTGATTCATTATTATTCACTATATAATGTACATTAATACATAAAGCTTTTAGAATTTGAGATTTATATTTAACACAGAGTAAAAGTGTCTGTGATCGCACAGAGCAGTTTCAATAAAAAAAATTTAATAAGAAACCCTACTCATGTATACAGTAATGATTAAAGTCAGATTATGTAGAAGTAATCGATTGAAGCAGTATGAGGCAAACGATTGGGTTTCAATTTAATCCATGGGTTATATAATAAAAAAAACATGTTATATACGAATGAAAATATCTAGACTCGGACCCAGTGTGGTGGATGTTAATCACAAAGTGGCATATAAATAGTATGCACGGTTTTACCAGAGAAAAGAGTGCCTGGCGATTGAAGTGCATGGTGCAATCAAAGTATATTGAAGACCGAGAGATAAGCGACATAAAACAGTCAACAACAAGTATGTATTACAAATGGATGCCTGGATGTATAGTTCATCTGGTCTTAACTTCATTGTACATCACACTAGTTATTTAGAAATCACGTTTGATAAGTTCAGTTGATGAATAAAATGCACAATCAAGAGATATATTCATTTACTGGTTGTGTGAGTCATGAACATAATCATCATATTGCTAATTTTCTACTACTTACATCATTTCACATGTTTACCGTGAGTATTTACTGAAGATTTGAGAAAATCTATGCTGTATTAGCTAGTATGATAAAGATTGTGTAATGGTGACCTCTCCAACTTTATTATGAATAATAGTGAGGACAGAGATTTAAAATTTTCTAAACAACTGAATAGTGCTAATTTAAGAAATACAAACAAGTTGCCATAAAAACATCCCTTTGTTGATTAATTCTACAGGGTAGAATGTGGATAGAAAAACACTAACTGATACATTTTAAATTTTTGTGGAGTATTTACTTAGAACAACAAACATGAACATCACAGAACAAAGCGACTATTATCATTATTAGTATTGTACACATGAGAAAATACTAAGCATCCTAATATCACTAACCACTGTCATGATTGTTAGTCGTAGAACACGAATAAGAAAGGCATGTATTAGGCGATAGACAGATTGAATGCGTTGATAAATTCGCTTTATTTGCCGTAGTACACCCGCCGATGTGATCATTTTTGTCATGACCATTTGTATGCTTCGACGGATGATGCTGCTGACGATTTATTGATAAATCAGCAGATTGTTTTACACCAACTGGAACAACACACGCCTCAGCAATAGACAATCTGTGCAAATTATCACTATCAGTTGAAGGTGTTTCGTTCACAAGCCAATGGTTAACTGCATTCAGTTTTTCTACCGAATGATTTGGTGAGTTATTCGATTCACTGTAAAGAATGAATAGTTGAAACGGGAAAATAGAAAATACAATAAATAGATTAGATTTTAACCAAAAATTATCTGTCAGCATGAACACAACACTAACACGGTTACTTTCGAATAGATAATTGATTTACACACTGTTTAAGATCATTCACTATGTCGTTGATGAATTAATCAGAGACCAAGTCGATTTGTTTTTAATTAGTTTCTTAGTTCGACGCATTAATTTTTGATTGTTATAATCAATGGGTAGATTGTTGATCACAACCTATTCACCAAAGTAGCACCCACTTCGCGAATCGGTTTGAGATTAGAGACAAGATAGTACTAGCCAGAAGAACAGGTATTTAATGCAAAAAAAATGATATGTTTATCGACAACCTACGAACACAAAAAATAATATGATAGGATGTCACAAGTGATTGGAAGAAATTAAACATTGGGCTCCTTTTTTCGCCGTTATACCAACTAGTGGAGATATATATAGAGAATAGTAAATAGAATCGTCTCAATCATCAACCTTGTTTTAATATAAGTTATTTGAAGAATATGTAACTAGGAATCATACTTAGTTGGAAAAAGATATTCGACTAGGTTGATTAAGAGGTTAAGTAAAAGTATCTCATTTAAATAGGTACTGTTAATATCTCAACTTGGATTTATTCGATTTCCTAAATAAATCTGTGCCAATATGTATAAGCTCATGATTCAATGTCGAATATAGTAAGCTTTCACTGTAACACTTACAAGCAATCAGAATAGCGATCTTACTCTTCAAAAAAAAAATACGTACCACTACTCGAAATCGCTTATTTTAAAGGCTATTTCTTGTGTAGGCTGATTGCTCGCCAATCAATCACAAGTATGAGTTAAAGATAAACTTATGGAACGAGACTGCTTTTTAACAGTGGGAACCTACAAAAGTTAAGCGTGTTTAGTAGTTTAAATTAATATACCAAGGAATGGAAATTAAAAAATAATTTTCATGACGTTTCACACTACATAATATGAAACTTTGGATTCATGATAGATATGATGATGATAATGGTGAGATATCTTAAAAACAAATCAACCACTCACTGATTTTTAAGTACACAGCAATTCTGATTGGATGAGGGACTGGAAGGTCGGGTAGAAACACTATGAATCTCGTCAGACATAAGTGATGATGTGATGTCAATTGTACGATTTTCTTGATGTGACGAAATGTTTGAATGAATAGTAGTTTGTATATTGGATGAATATGATGGATTTTCAGTGTCAGAACTACCATGTTGTATTGGTGAAACTTCACTAATCGTATTTCTAGTAGTATTGTTTGTTGTATTATCATCAATAGTATCTGTGGATAGTTCATCGGATATCGATGATAAAGTAGATAACTTATCGTTGGAATATAAAGATAACATTGATTGAACATGTACAGCAACATCGATGAAAGAAGATGAATATTTATTATTCTTGTCTGAAGAATTCACTGAATTCATTGATGCAAACGAACAATGCGGATTGTCATTATAAACAGGTTTAACAAACTTGTCTACTTTATTATCGAATAATGATGATGGTGATGATAATTGAACTGATTTCATCGGATTGGTCATTTTGTATTTCTGTGTATCTTTAATAGGATTTTTAAAGCCCAATATTTGTATATCTGTTGGTAAATAGATAATTTGATTTTTGCGTACCAAATGAACCAATGATTGTGACAGGTATTTGGTATTGGAATCATCAGAGTCAAGCTTTGCATCGGTCAATTCATCATCGTCCTGATCAACAGCATGCGTTGATAGACTCGGCGTAAATGAAGGCAAACTGAAATATAATAAAGATTTGTTTGAAATTATTGAAGATTGACAAAAATTATAAACTTGCAATAATTTGAACCGTGTAAAAAAAAATTACAAAAGTTTAGACAGTATAATAAGTATAAGAAATAATCTGTTACTACTATGGTCAAAAACAGTATGATTGATTACTGAAGTGACTTCAGACAACGCGTTTTTCCTGTTAATATTTTGGTATAGAGAGATTTCTTTGTATTAACTGGAAAATGTAAAGAGAAATTACCTTTCATGTCATACTACATTAGGGAATTTTTTTGTTTGGGAAGAGACTAAGGTTGGAGTACATTATTTCAATTAAAATTGTAGCGGATTAAGTTGACCTGTACAAGCTTAGAAAGTAATCAGATTACGGTTTTGTATAGATTATATTACATATATATATATATAACAATGTAAAATCGTTTAGTCTACTTAAGCTTCTATGAAATAATCGATTTTTCTATTGTAATAAAGTAGCGAAAAAAAATTAGTTTGTTAGCGTATCAATACATTTCGAACTAGTTCTGTGTATACCTGGGACATACATCAAGCCTGGACTACAATAATATTCATTGTATTCCTTATCATTGAATTATCCATAGTTAAAACTATGTACAATCCAGTTATCTAGGTGTCAAAAATTTTTAATGTACATTCGCGTCATTTTATTGAAAATATTTATTGGCATGCAACATGATGTATTTGTAGTATACGATAATATTTATTTTTAAACAGTTAAAGTGTTATTTGTACTGTTTGTTCACCAATAAATCATCTATGCGTGAGAATATTCAAAAATACGTCAAATCTGTTAGTTGGTTGCTGACACTTTGTTCATTGGAAAATTGATCATGGGAGAAAAGGAGACAAATAAACATTTCAGTTATGAAAATCGCTTGCACAGTTGTCCAAATCTTGTTTAACCTTAAATTGGTTGTTATGATAGATGATTGTCTAGATAAACAGTTTCAGTTTTGAATTATTTCGCTAAACATTATTTATTCATGGAAGACGCCCACTATTATGATAACATGCCATACAGCGACGAAGAAGAACATTTCAGTGAAGTCTTCATCAAATCCAAATGAAGGAGTCATCTGCAACTGATTGAGTCATAATTTAAAATCATTCAAATTTTTACGATTATAGATCACGGATTCATGTCACACATTTTCTTGACTAATGAACTATCGAGTTCGGCTGGTCAACAAAGTTTGCTTTTATCTGATGTATGTGTGGTAAATGAACATCAATGGTGCATTTCAATACAAGACAATGGGTGGTTATTTAGTAAAAATACATGTTTACAGGTATAAATCGAATTAAAACAACAGATAGTATCCGATTTTTTTTCAAGCGATTTAATCGTACCAGCTTGTATTAATCTACACTCAGTGATTTTTCCGCGTATATTATGATAGAATATAATAGTTTTCCCAGGGTTTCACTCAGACTACATTTGTGTTATAATAGTATAGACATATGAATCATAAATGTGTGAAGCAATCTTTCAATGATACACATGTATACAAACACTTTATCGACTAATTTATAACTTGCACTAGTGTGTTTCGAGGTACAATAACTAATTGACACGATCACTTTTGATTTACCTAATTAAATTGTGCTAAATCCAACATCAATTATAAAGTTCTATACATCAAAAACTCTAAATATCCACCTATTCAAACTGAATCTTGGTGTACAACAATAACATATTTAACTTATAACACAGTCACACCTTTCTTTTAGATTATTTTCCTCGAAAAATCGAGTATTTGTTTCTTACCCGTTCATGGATTTTTTCCTAAATTAATTCACTGGCTAATATAAACCAACATTTAATATCCATCTATCAGTGATCTATGGTTGTCTTAAAACTTCAATTCCACGTCCGGATAGTTACGTATGACCTCCTCCTCGTTACTTCATTCCAGGCTACTCGAATAAATATTTAAATCTCTGGATTATTGTTGATAATTTTTGTTACATGATGACATTTCATTTACTATATATATATATATATATATATATATATATATATATATATGTAAAAGTTAAATGCAGGTAAATACAATTGTACAGTTTGAATAATAAATAATATTCTCCACTGAACATCTGTCATTTTGTTAAATAACGCAATGAAATTCGTGCATTGTTAGTTATGTGTCTGCATGAATTCTAAGACACTACTAATAAATGAAAAAGGTAATTTTCGTCATCGTCGAATAATTTTCACTATGTATAAAATTATAAAACTTTGAATCACGCGATAATAATAGATTCATCAAGTGTTTAGCATTAATTCAATATACATACTATTTGCATTGAGGTTACACAACTGTTATTCTTCAATATTTTTTAAATGCTGCTTGAAGATGTGTGAAAAAAAAATTACTTGGTGCAAAATATTTTCCACCTTGTGAAGTTTCAAGTTTATGAGGTGTCAGTTACAATAATTAACTATTTTAATTAATTTATTCTGTATTTTATCAATGAATAAAAAAAAACTTATCACCAACGCCTGTGAATGATATTACTTTTTAATGATATGAAAATTTCATGTGATTACTTTTGTTGGTACAATTGAAAAATCAATCTGAATTCCTGTGAAAATTCAGTTTTATATGTAAATGATCGATAAGAAAATTGATTCCACTTTTCACCTCAATGTTTATGAACAAGTATTACACTATTTATTTGAAAATGCTCTTTCATTTCACAAATTTAATTTTATAAAATAATTCAGCCAACTGAGAAGTTCTTATTAAAATAAATGTAAAAATGTAAATTTTTACACCTAAATGAAACTATTTATGCTACACAGATTTTAACTGGTTCGATTACAAAGATGTATTGTTAAGAGTCAATTAAGGAACTGGTACAGGTAACAAAAAGTGTGATCTTAGATAGACTGACAACTAATTTAAACGAACAGGTCAATCAATCACTAATTTCTAAGTAGGTAGCAATAAAACAAAGAGAAACTAAATGTTGAGAATATGGTTTGAGAAGACAGAATGGAAAGACAGGCATGAAGGGATACTATAACTGTAAAACGAAAGTGAGATAAAAGAGTGAATATATCTACGCTGCTGTGAGATGGGATGAATTACCCAAAGTATTCAACTACCGATCGTGGTTATTACAACCAACCAGGTACTCAGAATCTACCGATAATCATTGGCTTCATGAACCGGTGCAACATTTTGGTTTGGTATCATCTAGGTTTCGTCCAACCTACTTCTGTACCAGTAAGCATTACTCAACAAGGTAAGAGGTAGTTGGGCATACGTAATACAAGTCCTAACTACTTCAATCGATAGGTATTCAGTACCTCATCAGCCGATTCGCCATTTTTGTCAAGTACCCCTATGTCTAACCTCTACACCGCTCAACTGGTCGTTTCAAGGAACCTAAGGTAACTTTGGTCAAAATCCTTAGGCTGTGCCTTGTACTTTCACAATCATAAAATAGAACAGAGTGAACTGATGAGCACTATAAACGGTCTTCCGTTGGCAGACAGATATCTTGCTGACGTAACAAGTTGGTAACTTTCTCTGATTGTTTGTAGAAATATTTTCAGACAACAGCTCACCAAGGCTGATGAGATTTCAAATATAAACGAAATGGTCAACTCACTCAACTGATTCACTCCTTTACAACTAGTCAAAGTGATCACAAGGTTGGAGTGAAAGAATTATGAATAAATCAAATTAGATTCAAGTTAATACTAAAAGAATGAAGCCTAAATATACATCGACACGCGTAGTTACATATTACATAAAACAAGTATCCATAATCTAAACAGAATTATCTAATAAAATCTAGGTATCTATTTATTTCATTATTAGTTAGTATGTAAGTAGTATGTAGTAAGTATGCAAGCAGTAACATCCGGTCATGTTAAGTTGTTTATCTGGTATATATATATATATATATATATATATATATATACTTCCTGTTCGACAATCGTTAAAAAGCAATCTGTGATGGATAACTATTTCAAAACATCAATAACATAATAACTGCATGTTTTTGTCAAAATTTGAATTGAGATGGTTAGTCAGATACAATCTAACCATTCAGAATAAAAATGAAATTATACTAGATTGTCAGAGAAAGATACACCACCGTTTGTATTTTAGCAATCGAATGCGCTTAAAAAGTAAAAGAGACAAGAAAGATTTTCATGTTTACACAATGATTATCGACACACGAAACAGTCTTAAGTATTCCTATTAATCACCAGTAGCACTAAGTGTAAGCGAGATATCACCGGAGGTAATAAAATCAAGGCACTCATATACGAAAGAATCTATCGCGTTGAAAAATTGACTGTATATGTGACGTTTTTTTATCACAAGTATATCTCAAAAAGGGACCAAAACGTGTTTAGTAGATATTCAATATGAAAACTGTACAAGCACCATAGTGGGACCATATTTAATCATAAACCAAGGAATTGAAAATTTCAGTAGAAATTGAAACGCATTTAAGAATAAAAAAAACCATGTACACACTGAGCCGCGTTAGTATGATGCATATACAAACGAGATTTCAAAACAACTTTAGCAATAACAAAGGTGTTTTGATTGAGTGATCAACTATTACTAAAGACATATTTATAATTATTATGAGAGCAACTAAACTAGAGTTCTACTAGATCTGAGCGTATTCGAATAACGTAGTAAAATGTCAAAAAAAAATACTAGAATTTCGAACACGTGAAAGTAATAAACTGTAAATCATACCTATGGAGGAATGATGACGATATGAGTTGAAAATATTTTGTAAGTGATCATACAAATTACCCATAAACTTGAACCAACGCATAATGACAGCATTGTAAATCACAGCACTAACGAAATAAATATTTATGCTTAGAATGAAATTCGCAATTTCATTAGCACGTAAAGAATATGACTAGAGCATTAAATATCAGTACTGTCACTAGCTTCAAATATCTTCATATGTTTATTCAGCATCAAAAAGCCAGTCATTATCATCAGATAATAATAGCTAAGTGTATTAAGTATTTGACAATTAGGGAAATACCGAAAATCTTACATGCCACAACACAATAATCAATCGTTTCCTCTGACTAATCGTACACAGAGCTTGAGAAAGCCCTACTTTCAAAAAAGTGAAAAAAAATTAAATTTGAAGAAAAAAACAGTCATCTTACACAACTTGACGATGTGGAATACAATCACGATGTGTCCATGTAGAGTAAGGCTGTTTAGATGGAACATTGACAGATGATACTTCATCACTGAATAAAGTAGTTTGAGTAAATGAATTTAATGAATACTTTGGTTTGACAAATGATACAAAATGAGGATGATGATGGTGATGATTTGGTAAATGAGATGATGAATGCTCTCCTGATTCAAAAATCGGCGGAGAAAGTCGTCTATGATTAGGTGACCAACGACGATGCAGCCATCGACGTGAACGATTCAAATTTTCAAATACTTGACTACGAACTGATGATTTGATAGACTTTTGTACACCATGAAAATGGTTTTCATTTTCTGCAAAAAAAAACAAAACATTTTAATAATTAATTATGAGTATGATTGAACAATAATACAATCAAAATGCATGTTAGCTCCTGAAGAGTAAACTATGAAATTCAACTATATACACAAACGTCTATGGTAAAAATGTGAGTTAGAGTAAATAATAGATAAATAGCAGTTAGTAACATCATACACTATTCAATTTCGTCTAACGACTCAGTGTATTTGCAAAATTTAAGTGTCCTACATTAAGAAAACTGTATGATGATACAGTTCACTGGAATAATCCATGAAATTAGTATCACATAAATCGAAGCACCAGTAAGGAAAATTCATCACCTTATATTGCTTAACACCTGGATTTTTGATTATCTTAACCGAAACATAATGTATATCAAAACTAAACCGCTTTAAACGATTAGAAAAATAACTTTACGTGAACTCAATAAATCACAGTCGTTTTCCAGATTTAATTTGTTTAACCTCATTCTTACAATTTTTAGGAATCATTATCGCATATACACGAAAATTGTGAGATTATACAATAAGTGTGGTTTCACCCGGCGACTAATTAAACTAGCGCTAATAGTAATCTTAGTATGATTGTTTGTTGTTTACTATACTTACAGTAAGAGATATAAGTGACTTGACTGGTGTATAAATAAATCCGGAATAAAAATTCTTATGTTACGCCACAATCTCGAACTTAAACTGTGATGATCGATTTCCTCTTGTTCATACAGGAAACTTTTATCACTGCGAACGATTTCTTGTTCAGGGTCCAATTTTCTTTTGAAATTTATTTCACTGGACTATACTTTCCGAATCATATCTTACTTACATCCCTAATCTTTTTGGTCACCGCTTAATAGTGCTTAAACTTCTACTAATATGGGAATTGAACTGACAATTCTCTCTATCTATGCTAATGTGGTGTGGCGGCTCAAACTGATGTATGTAACACCAATTTCTAGGTTGTAGCTGACTGACTGTCCAACTATCTACAACTGTGTCTTGATAAATACATTGAACTGAACTGATAATATTGCTTTATTGGTTATATGCATTGTATTTTGTTTTACAGTGAAAATGTCAATTGTAGATTATTCACAAATTGTCTTAAAAGCAGCTAACATGAACATCAGTTCTAGTGTTTGGAAACACTTTATTCGGATTACTGAGAGGGAGAAACAGACAATCGGCATCCAAATATTTTAGGAGCTTGTGTATTGCTTTTCTGAAGCAAACTAATACAGTTGATACTACAGTGGATAAAAAAACAAACATTTATCTTGAAGGAAAAACACAAGAGACAACACTGGATTCCAGAGTTAACAATCAATATACATAAAATATATATCTTACTGGTTTCTGCTGGAGGAATTACAGAACGTATGTCAGGAATTAGTCGATTTGCTGCCGACTTGGTTTGCATCACTTGTCCACTGAGTGACTGTATTTTCGAGTAGGCCATTATTTCATCTTTAGTTTCTTCAGTAGTTTTTACATTTCTATCATAAAATATTTGAGGAATGAATAACCAATCACATAAAGATTCATTGCATTCAATGTCATTAGGCTTTAATTGTTGATTTTTTTGTGATATTCCTAGGAAATTATGTCGAAAAATTTGATTTGAAGATGGTGTAGCAATTAAATTCAAACACATCCACGCCACTCTAATAAAAACAAAAGGATTACAGGAAAAATATGGAAAAAATTAGGATAAATTTCGAAGGACAAATCGAAAAAATCTTCAGAGTTCAAGACAGCGTGAGAAGTAAATATTCCGCTAACAAATATCCCACTAGCTTGCAACATACAATTGTATAAAGAATAAAATATTTTGCCTTGAAATGAATTGTGGTAAATAAATCTGACAGTTTGAACGACGCTACATGGGAAATAACAAGAAGACTGAATAAAAATCCCTTAGCGAAAAAGTTTAACTACAATAAATAAAGGTATGCAAAATTGCTAAAGAAACGAAGAGTAAATCACTCAACAATGGAAATTATATAACAGTAAATCAAAGATAACATTGAATGAGGATTGCGTTATGTTAGATCAAGATTGAATGAAACCTAAAAATACGAACCACGATTATTTGGGTGGGATAAACATGATTTAACAATATGCTCAAATTCAAATATTGAGGTCTTGGTTTTTAAAACAAATGTGGAGTTACAGATGATCGGTCATACAAAGTTTGTCTATTCAGCTAGGAAGCTATACCTTGTGTGACAACCGATTGATGCTCACTGACTTTTAGTAGTTAATTACAAAATGTGACCTTACATACAAAACAATGTAAATCAACGATAGTAAATTAATTTGAGTAACAAAATATCATAAAACTAATTTCCAATCTATAAAATGAAGCCTCTCTATTAGCTGTAGTAAGAAAACAGATGAGTAGTATGTGTCTATAAGTTGAACAAGCGTATTCTAATATGAAGGGCAGCATCCGAGATTTGAGTTTGATACGCACCAAGCCCCCCCCCCCGCTTAAACTGGCCACTTGAAAGAGAAGGCAAGAGTGGAAAGAGAAATTATGTTTGGCTACCGAAATATATACATAAATACTTAGCTGTATGCATACAAAAATATTACAGTGATTTAAATAAAGGATATTTAGTCTTATCTTGTTCTAACAACAAATTCATATTCATAAAAATAATTCAGAGATAATCGTTTAGAAAGTTATATTGAGAGAGATGATTACCATTTAAGTTATACAATGAATGTTAATGAAAATGAAACTGTGAACTTTTCAAAGTTGCATTGTTACAGTCTTTGACATAAACATATGTAAATTTTGAGGAAAAAACGTACCGACAATAATAATAATAATAAATTGATTTATAAATTTACCAACTCAATATTAACTTACGCTCTGATATTCATTGAATTAGAGTGTAGAGCGAGACTAGTGAATAATGTCATTAGTTCAGGATGCTTTAACAGCCAATATTGTCCATAAGTTGTTGAACAAGTATGAGCTAAAGCCCACATATCTGCTTTAAGTTTTATCAAGGAATTAGTGCAATCATTAGTAGTTGTTTCTTCACATTTATTATTATTGATTATTTCAGGCAAAACAGAGCGTATATTAGCAAGAGCGGTCTACAAATTTTACAACAAAAAACTCATTACATAATGAGATACATCAATTGTTAACTGAAGAATATTAAATTCTGAGAAAATTGTTTACAAAGATACATGAACACATACATACAACACATGACAAAACAGGAAAAGTAGTATAGAAAATCTAGGTTCCGTCTTACTTTGCTGTTATCTTAGAAACTAAAAGTATAACCATAACACAAAACAAACATATTTTTTATTTGTAATTTACTACCCTTTTTGCTGATACTACTATTGTTATTAATTATTTATCAAGCACTGGTTCATGTACTTGGATTTTTAAGCCATACTTCAGATGCTGAGGCTGATTGGTATTACCTGACTGATTAAACCGAAGTAGATGGATCGCAGTTTGAAAGTTTTCGATGACATCCAATTCACGATGGAAAAGGAATCAAACAACAGCCTATCATTCCTGGATGTACTAATCACCAGAACTAAAACAGGAAAACTGGAAACTCAAGTATTTCGGAAGCCAAGCCACACAGACGTAATTCTCAACTACGGTAGTAACAACCCAAGAACCCACAAAATCAACTGCATACAAACTTTGCTTAAGAGAGCGAAGACACACTGCAGCACAAACGAAGCACTAAAAAACGAGGAAAAACACCTTGTGACTATCTTCCAAAAGAACGGCTATCCACACAACTTCATCAAAAAACATCAACCGAAATCGTCAACAGAAGCGACACCAAGTAAGGAACCAATAAACGGATCATCCTACCATACATAAAAGACATATCGGAACATACAACACGACTACTGAAACCATTTGGAATAGGTGTGGCACACAAACCAACAGAATCACTTCAACCAATCCTATGTAGACCAAAAGACAAAATGACAAAGGAAGAAAAACCAAATATCTTCTACAAAATAAATTGCTCAGACTGTGAAAAACACTACATAGGACAAAGTGGACGGCCTCTTCAGCTTCGTTTACGTGAACACCAATTAGCAGTCAAACACCACGACAATTCTTCGCTTATATCAATACATACCGACAATTATGGACATACATTCGATTGGAACAATCAATGTGGAAATACTGGATAGGAGGACAAAGAACACTAGAGAATTTTTAGAAGCTTGGCACTCAGATCAATCAGCATTCAATAAACACATCGACATTGACCCAATCTATCAACCAATCAGAAAAACCATAGGTGACAGGATCAAGAAATATATCAAAAGGGGAATACAACCAAACAAACGTGTAAACAACGACAGGTTTAAGGTAGATACAATTGTTGGATTTTTTAATTTAAACCCAAATCTTGAAGTAAATTCAAACAAATTTGACATGATCAATCTCAGGAACTGGTAAATGTCATCTATATTTAGCGTTTTAAAAATATGTGCTACTGACGATTGTCTTTTAACATATTAAAAATATACCCCTGTACTGTCTAACATTATGTTACGCCTACAGGTGATAGCTGAGCTTTCGAACAGGTCAACAAATTCCTTCTTCATGAGTCACATTTTGGTCATGTCAACTATCCGCTTACAATCTTGACTGTTTCTATTTGGACGTATGTGTGTGTGTATCCCTTACTCTATTCTTTATATTTCGTTCCAATGGGAGTCAGATCTCGAGGCATCAGATTCAATATGAAGTGAAATGAAAAATTCTTCAGAAAAAATAATTGAGTAATTCTCAAGTATGTGAAGCGATGACCCAATGGTTACAATGATCAATTTTTATTCCTCAAATTAGATTAGATATCATCATCATCCAACTAAGTTACAAAATAGTCTTTCGATAGATCCTCACATGTAATAAGAAACATACACACAGGTAATCTCTCTTCCATTATAACTTCACTCCAAATGCCATCATAATTTGGCGTTCAACTCTTAAGATTGCATTTAACAAAACTGATGATATGCAGGTAAATTTAAGCATATATTTTTTTCAGGCCTAGACCAGAAAAAGAATGCTTGCTACACAACAAAAATGCCTAGAAAAAACTTATGTTATTGATAATATAACTCAAGAAAGCTTTTTGAAAAGAATAATGATTATACACAAGATTTTCTAAAACCTTATCATGCCTTCATATATTAAAAAAAGAAATGCATTATCAGCTTTGTAATAAGGGTTTTGTAGAGATTGCTTTAAATGACAGATTCCACTCATCACAAACAGATCTTAGATGAGGTACCAGTAAAAATCAAGGGGCATTTGACACGTGTTTTGTTCTTGTATTGGATATGAATAATTACCGATGACCTACTGTCAAAGTAAAGTTTATGTAATTACGGGCAGTGAGAATAAAATGCATAGAAGGACAGTTTGATCATTTAGATGGTACTTTTTGGAAAGTAAGACACAACCACTGTTTAGTTGATAGTGGGTAAGGCACACTGGTTAAGGGGTTGAAGAGTCTTATTGGGTAGCATATTACTTCTCACACTTGGAGTGTGGCTCGAAGTCAAGTAAACGAGTATATTATTCATAATAATAAGTATGTGTGTTTGTGAAGAATGACATAATCATACAAAAAGTTTTAAATATTTTAGATAAAGTAAAATATAAAAAAGTTACCTCTAAATCCTTTCTCTTATCTAATAAATCCATTCCGTTACGATGTTCTGCTATACATGCATAAAGATGTTTTGGAAGTGGTAGACAATGAAAACTGTCCTGTCCATCAACAACTTGACCAATAGATTGATCATTAACTAACGGAAGAGATAAATAGGTGCCGGATACTGCATCAGTCCCTTCAATGAAATAATTGTCTTCAAAATTAAATTCCGAATTGCTCGGTCGATCAAGTCTTTCACTGTTTTTTTCATCACCATCAATATCATCGTCATGATCAGTGTGTGATAATTCAATGTTGGTATCAAAAGATGGGAAATTTTCTGGCTGATAGAATGTATCTGAAAACAGTTTCTTTCCGTATGTAACAAACAATGATGTGAATCGACTGTCGATTTCGTTTGCGTAAGCTACATTATAATGCTTCGAGTGATTTTAAAGAAGAAAAGAATGAAGTATACGTTTGAAACAGTATTATGCTGTCTATGAATAAATAGTACAGAGTTGAAATTTACACAAATTCAAGTTGGAAAATTAATTTTTTTAAAAGAAAAACAAAACAAAACAACAACAACAAGAAACTTTATTCTTTCTTGTGGATCTGGCCTATATTAGCGATAGCGCATCAACATAAAGTTAACATTCACAACTATTTGTTGGATTTATGCTTTCAGAATTTCTCTATTGCATATTACGAAATTAACAAACAGGCATACACATTACCTGAACCCTGTCTTTGTGGATAACTTTTAAACAACCTGTTATACTGGCTTTTTAGTTCAGCATGCTTGTGTGTTTCAAAGTTTCCCTATTCTTTTTTTCCCCTACAACTGTAAACATTATTCCTAAATATTTTTATGATCTTCGCATTATTTGAAATTAAGTATCTAATTCAAAATAAAGAGAATTATCATTCCTACTGTTAAACGACTAGTTGTTGTAGTGACATGTCAATTCTATAATTTTGTTTCTGTGTTAATTTGACGACCGACTGAGTGGCTGACTGAACACTTATCGGAATTTCTAAAAAAAAAACTGATCTATAGCATTGTTGAATATATGAATTCGGTATTGAGTTCAAAGTTAATTCCACAACTTATGCAGTTGACAAGGAATTATTCAAGAGAAAAATATTTTCTCAACTAACTTGTAATCTTTGCAGCTTGACAGAATATTAATCACAAAAATAATAATTTAACGAAACATGTGAAAGGAAGATTTCGAATTCGATTAATCGAAAATAATTAATGTGAGGATAAATTACACATAAAATTGACACGATGCACTAAATGATTGTGAATATTTAATTTTGTGCTACACAGATCAGAGTGAACCTATTTTTTTTAAAGAGTAATGAAAAATTTTTAGAAGCAGTTACAGCTGAATGTTTCGGAATACACTAGAAGAGAAAGTGAAACAACTAACTAATGTTGATGAAGAAAACACCTACCTTGTCTGAAAGGCATATTTAAATTGAGTTATACGTTCAAGCGAAAACGAGAAATGTGCTAACACACAGGTGGAAGCAACTCTGCATGACCTACCTACCAACTCACTTTACATTTCGTTTTTTTTCGCAAGAAAAAAAAGACAAGAATCTACCATGTTGAGATACCGTGAATGCGAGTTTAATCAAAATTGGATAGATTTAGAAACGGTAACCGTGATGATTGAAATATTCCATGCAAAAAATAAATGTACAATCTAGGTATTATTAGACTATGGCTAACATTAGACTACTTAATTTATCACAATTTTCACGTGTGTATTGAGAAATATTTCAAACATTTGGAAATTCAACAACAACAACAAAAAAAACAGTGAACTACAAAAAATATCAGCTTACTTAAACAGTAAGTGACATGTTTAATCAATGCACTAAAAAGTCAGCAAAAACATTATTGACATAATATTAAGAGTGAAGTGACAGCACATTAGATGGCATGTAATAACAATGGCCTAATACAGTTTAGTGTACAAAGCTATGAACCAGAACCATTGATGGTTAGAAAACCTCTTGGCCTGATTTACTGAGAATAGAATATCTGATTTAAACAGAAAATAAAAATGAATAATTTGAAAATAAATTGCAAATCATTCGAAAACAAAATTTAGGCTAAAAGAAGAAAGAAATTAACGTGGAATGAAGTCAGAAAAGTACAATCCACGTACATGGTCGATTGTTATGGTTAATAATCTCATATTGTTATTTTTCGAAAAATTCCTAATGATAATTTCTAATATTCTTCCACAACATAAAACTTGATATCTTCAATAAGTTAATCTATTCAGTTTCTTAGTTACATAACAGATCATTGTTTGGTTTCACTTCAATGTAACCCATTTTCCAAACACAGAGTTTATGTACTCGGAATTGGGTCGCCTTTTTGGAATGCAGGGGCTACTGATACTAACTGCCAGTGCAAAATTAAGTAGATGAGCCAGAGTTCAAGCTTAAAAGTTTAACTAATAAAGCCATCAATTCCACAATTAAATCTTACGTTGCAGTACAGTTGTATTGCAAACCTCAAATCATTGTCCTCATATAAATGGGATATTAATTTGAAACTAAGTTGCAGCCTTTATTTTCGAAATGACCGTTTTGATGCTATTCAAATTATAGAGAATGAATACGATACCCAAAGAGTATGCCCTACAACTAGGTCTTAAGTGAATGAGAAATGAATGATCTACAAGCTTATTTCCTCCAATCGGCTGTGATATGTGATCATCTTTATTTTGTGTTCATATTCTGTACATAAGCATGCTATTTTATTACACAAAAATATTGGTTCGCCTGACTAGTGGTTTTACTTCTGATTGCCAATAACTCAGAGGTCTAGAATCGCACGAGTAGCCAGCTACATCATATCATTAGGTTCATTTATTGATTGGCATCTAATTAACCTGAGTCCTAAAGTCATGCCAAATAATTTCAAAAATTAAAGTAGTGCTAGATGCTTTGAGTTAGATAAGCATCTGTTTTAAAAATTATATAGGTGTCTATGATATTATCCAGAATGATAAAAGATTTTCAATTCAGCAATCTACCTCAGATAACCCACATCCACATGAGCTAGAAATCTGCAATATTTACACCTCACATTCTATTGTATTTTCAGAAACAGTCGTAAATAATAATCGTCGGTTATTAAATACAACAAACAGTGAACCCCAAATTCAATTTCGCACTATTGTAAAACTTGTTTATGAAGTTTATTTAACAGTTAGGTAGTGCAATGTAATGTCAATAACTTGAAAAATTACTTTCCCATTGAAAATTCTAAACACAGTAGCGAATCTGAATACAATAATAATAATAATAATAATAATAATAATAATAATAAATCAATCTAAGAAATTGAACGATTTAGAAAAATACTATCCGAACATTTTTTTAGATACACATTAGTCTGTTCGTATTGCACTTCTCCCATTTTCTCAAATATATACGTATATAAACCAAGTAATGAGTGTTGATTTATCTTGGAATATGAAATGTATCTAGTGTCAGTTTATACACCTAATATAGTGAAATCCATTAAACTAAATGACTGCATTTTATTGATTTTTTCACAATATAACGAAATACATAAATTTCACTTATCGTTTCAAAAAATTGTTCCGAACGAATATACTTATTTTCACTGACACAATCTATGTGAAATTACAAAACACAACAAAGAGACCTCCGTCAACACAGTTATATGTGTATTTTCGATCAATATAAGTAAAAATCTGAAGTTCAGCAGTACAACCTTTATAAACCAGTGTTATGAAATTCAAATGAATACACCTTCAGCAATTCATAATCGCAGTCCCAGTATAACCTATGTATCCGTTCAAGGTGCCGTAATTCAAACCGTCTCAAGAAGAAACAAAGTAAGGAAGTAGAGAATGAATAAATGAAACAAAATATGGAATATAACATTGATAAAAAATTTAATCAAATAATGAATTTGCACACACTAATAATTCACGGGATAACACATTCTCATGGAATCATAGTTCACCAGAAGGATACAAATTCTAAATAACTTACTGGCAAGGAATTTAAATGTTGCTCACTTAAAGCTTACCTTTTTTGCAATATCTAACATCCAATTCACTGGGTCACTTAACACAAATTTACTGTTATTATCATCATTGTGACTATTAGTCCGTTCATCATGAGATAGACATGAATTTGTAGAATTCTTATTCTTATAAGTTTGTGATGTGTTACAACAATTAGAATCAAAATGAGGAAATGATGCATTTGGTTGTTTCCAATTATCATGATTTATGCACAATTTATCGAATACAGTTGTGACAGATAGTATTCTACCAAATATTCTATGTCCCACTGAACCAGAATTAGCATGCAATAAATAAATAGCAAATGGTGTCAAAAGGTTTATTTGACAAACATTATTATTACTATTATTATTGTCATTATTGCTTTGATTACACAGAATATTTTGCGATAAAGCCTGAACGTTTACTGGATCCCAGCATAATTCCTGTAGGAAACGGAAAAGAATCAACGAAATTATTAACAGATATCACTTCAATCAGTCATAAACAATGCAGAACTTGCCAAATGTTTGCATCGGTTGAAGTTGACACACTATAGTTAGTACAAGAAGAAATTATCAAAAGAGATAGTAGGGTGGTAGAAGTAGAAACAGTATCAGTAGTAGAAAATATTAGTTCTAAATAGTATGATTTTATAAGGATCAATTTGCAGAATATAAAGATCATTTTAAACCTGGAGATGTGAGAAAACACAAAGAGTGAAAGCACCTGTGCATTGCGATCGATTCTGTGCCGATTCATATGAAATTTCGAAATCACCGGTAACGATTATCTCACAAAAACAAATAAGGTAATCTCACTAACCAACCAGGATCAGTATAAACTTCATAAATTGAAATCATATCTTCGTTCGGTCTCGAAGAAGACTACGGTATATTACTACGGGTTACTGACACTTGTTGGCACTTATGAAAATTCTATTTTTGTACAGAAAAGATCGGTTAAGCTACATAATTAGATAACATAATAAAAGTTATTAGATATTAACATGAACAAATAGAATCACATTTAATGAAGTACATCTATGCAAGGAAGTGAAAATTCACAAAAAAGTCTATATTCAATAGTTAAAGTGGCTCAAGATAGAAGGAAATATAGATGAATGCTGTCAAATAAATAATATGTACATTCCATCTACTTACTTGACCGAATAACAATGATGGTTAACGGTTTCACTGTGATGACCGGGCTACTACTACTACAGAAACTTAAAATGATACTGAAATCTATAAACTGGTATTTGAAGATTAATTACTAAACATGTAAACAAAGAACAATTATTCTGATTACACGTCAAGTTAGGTGGCATGTTAGAGTTATGAAAACATTAGGAATTAAACATGTTTCTTCCAGATAATATTCTTCAGGTTTCCATCGATGAAGCTACGGTTACGCACATGTTACTGATAGACACTTCCTTCAAACTTCCAACTTTGTGGACAATCTTAAAAGAGACTCCTAGTGTAGCGTTTGACGATTGAGCTGCTGTTTGATTCGTGCACTTTGTGTGTAAGTCAGGCAAGTGTTTTACTCGTAAACCCATTTGGAAACAGTTTAATCCGTGAGGTTGATATAACCAACAATACTCAAAAACACACAAACAGATAAAAACTGAGGTAGGTGACTCAATGTTTCAAAGATAAATTAAGTTAGGCCCCCACTATATGCACATATCTATCACTTGTTCCTGTGCAAAACCAACACGAATGAACAAAACTCCTTCAGTATTTTGATTCACGTTGTTACGCAAGTCTAATATAAACAAAAATATAATGTACACAGTTAATATACGATTGATACAAAACTGAATGGCACATATACACAGGTAACTGACAGCTATCTTTTGAACAGTGCAACTCTACAACTGAGATTATATGCAAATACAATAGAAACAATGAATTGATAAATACCTCTTCGAAATAAAGTCAAACTAATTAAATTCTTAGGAAACAACCACTTAGGTTTCATTGTTTTCGTTTTTCAATTCTTTACATGTATAAAAACAAATAAACTATCACCAATGTCCAAAATGGTCAATAAATGTGTTGTATCCAGCACCATTAGTCGATTTCGCATTCATTTAGTGGATGAGTGTTGCATATCGGAGTGAAATTATCATTTCAAGAGACTGGATGTATCTCTAACTGTCTGTTATATGTCAGAATAGTATAACTCGAACAAGCCGAATAAGAAACATAAATATAGTGAAAGTTAGAGCTTAAAAAGAAATGCTAAATACAAATTACACTCTAATAAGCAACACTCACCCTCTAAATGAACGGAAAAATTTTTGAAAAAAGCTGGAAACGACACATGTATTGAACATTGAGGAAGCTGCGGATAAACAGCCAAGAAATATTATACAGACAATCATGGTATTATACATACTTCTAATAAACATAACGCTAAACGACGAATTTTACGTGAGGAATCCATGCACAGTTTTACAACTAAATCTATACACCAACTCGCTAGAAATGGTAATTTCAGACGAAATAAAAGACGAATCAAACGAATTGTATAAATCCGTAGAGGCTGAAAACAAAGAACAGAGGAAAAAACGCAAGTATACATACATACTGATATTATTCATTTATTTGAAAAATACTAATTAAGTTAAAAGTGTAATTTTTAGATTTTGAAATGTATGCCGGAAGTAGAAATCAACTAAAATACAGAATGTACAAATGAATGTGAACTTACAACTATGGCTATTTGTATACGTTAAAATGTCATAAATACACAGATAATGAACACTAATTTCATGATTCCTCTTTTCCACAAATGCATAATTACATAATGAAAAACCAATGTAATTTATTAAATGAATTCTTGATAATCAAAATGAATTCAAAAAAAACGTTGATCGATAAATAGTAATGTAGAAATAAGATGTTGCCCAGTGATTGCCCCTTATAATACTGAATAAATGACGTAAGCTTTTAAATTGAACTAGTATCAGGAGACAGGACAGATGTTTAACAAAATAAACCTTTTCTTCACATAAAAGAACAGGCCTGTATGCACAATATTATGATATGAACCTAGTCAAATGTCTTTCGTAATTGTAGAGAATCAACACTGTAATTCACTCCGTACTTCAATCAATCAAAACCATCAGCTTTAACATTTAACCATACTATTTAAACAAGACGTCTTCCTTATTGGATAGTAGACAATTTTTGAGAGTTGGCACCGTCAGAATTCAGAGCTGATTAACATTAGACATAAAATAAACCGTACTTCGAAAATCTTCAGCAGTGTGCACTAACGACACCTCACGTGATCTAACCTAATGTGAACTGAACAACATTAATGATACTGAAGTTAAAAATATGACCCACTGGATACATACGCGTTATTTTATTCAAAGTGATTATCAAATCTCAGTATTTCAAAACCAGAAATATTTATTGATTTATATATGAAATGATTAAATTTCCCAGATAACAATCAAAATAAATAATAGTGCGTAAACGTGTTAAACTATGACTCAACATTATTTCCAATAAATACTGCTATCTATTCGGCCAATTATAGATAGATATAAATACATCGTAAAGTCATCTAAAAAAAGGGACTTTTACACAACTTAAAATTATTTGATATATATATATATATATATATATATATATATATTTGGAAATAGCATTTCGGTGACATTTGTAAATGCTGAAATGAATCTCCACTAGACTTGAGCATGTGTGGATGAGTTTAAAATGCTCCCGTTCGAAAAGATCTCATTTTTCATTTTCGTGCATTAAAAAACTACAGTAAACCACAGAACAAACGTAGTTCAAACGCCAAACGGCTATTGTATCCAAACGGCCACTGGTTGGTGAAATGGGGTGAATTATGATATATTTGAAAGGGTTGTTTTAATCTATCCAACGATGCTTATGACTGTAAATAATCAATCGCTTTTAGCACATAAGTATTCTGTACAGACTGCCACGATAGTGTCGTTAGGTCATATGTATTTTAAAGAGACGGAAAAAAGGGATTGGTCAAATACAATCCTTAACATCCACAATAGAAAGATTCAAACAACTAGAACAAATTAGTTAAAATTCACCATAATGCAAAATAGCCATTTGGACACAGTAGATAATCGATAACACGTTCAGTGTTTGAAGTCTAAGGTACTGGGTTCAAGTTCCAATGTGAGTATTAATACAGGTGCATGTACACGCAACTTGACGAGTCTTAAACTGAATGAATCATGCATCCTGTACAACGATGTTAATCACAATTTAACACTGTTTAAATTGTCCAATAAAATTAAGTAACAGAATAATACAAAAATCTGGAAGAAAAAAGTTCTGTTCGATTGGCTAACGATTAATAATGCAGATTTATTATATCTACTTCAGCCACTGTTTGTCAATGTGCGAAAACACTTTTCCATATTTTTATTACTAAAATAACAAATAATCAAAACAACAATAACAATGAAAAAAAACAAACAAATTGTGACTAACTTTCACACCACCATTAGCAGCAGTGGTTAAAAACAAACGACTCAATTTATTAGAATGCGTGTAGTCTAAACTAGACAATATAATTTTTGCATGATTTAAAAACACATTTTGTTGATTATGATTATCATCACTATCATCATTATTGTGAGCTTCAGTTTGCGCATTGTGACATTGTCTCAATTGACTCGGAAACATTAAAATACACTGGAAGTCTAAACAAAGATCACTTTTTTCCAAGCATAATTCGCCAACTTCAGAATTGGTTAATCGTGATGCGGCGAAAAGAATTAGACTACCACAACTTTTGGCTAAATACTTTGAATTGAATGTTAATGTCATATTTTTGTTATTACTATTGTTATGAGTACTATTACTGCTATCATCATCATTGTAACTGGTTGTCGATTCGTTAGCGTGTTTGTTGAGCATAAATTTCAAGCACTGATGAAGAATAGTTAAGAAACGGTCCAAATATTGAAACGGTTCACTAGCCTAATAAATCATCAATTAATGAGAAACGAAAAACTGAATAATAATAATAATAATAACAATAATGTCAACTTGCAGTAATAGGTTATTTTTACAATGTTTGTTAAGAAAAAAATCAAGAGAACATTATACATGACAAGAAGCATCGAGATTATGTGTAATTAAACTATTTGTTATAAATAGGGTTTGTGGTGTAAATGCGAAATCCGTACTTAAAACCCTACAAAAATACTGCGAGGTCGATTTCCATCTTTTCGGTGACAGGGGACATCATAACATGTTTCTTTTTAGTTTAGTTCAGCGCTGGCGTCGCATTAAGATACAACGCAGAACGTCGTACATTAGTTCAGGTTGCCATACCACATCAGCACAGAGACGCAACTGCCAGTTTAAATCCGATAGTGGTAGCGATAGCAGAAGTATTAGCAGTAATGGGGAAGATTAATGAGCGAAGATATGGTTCGAAAAGTATAATTCAGTGAGATAAATCTGAAAGGAGAAAGAGAGTATGAGGAATTCAGGAAGTTAGAATTAGGGAGAACACAAAGAGTGGATTCACCATTACAAGTGATTCTGAGCCATGTCGTTCAAGGTCTCCAAACAATGATGACTTTCGTCTCGCAGACCCGAACCCGGTACTCCACATCTACCAACACGATTCAAACCATCTGTCAGCGACATCATGGATTTGTGCCAAGTTTCGGTTCGGCCTCCCCTAGCTTTCTTCCAACCTACTCCTACAACACCACGAAACATAGCTCGACGAGGCAATCGGTGGTTCGGCATACGTAACACATGTCCCAACCATCTCAGCAGATGAAGTTTCACTACTTCATCTATTGATCATCCATTCTTACCTAGCACCCGTTTCCTAACGACAGAATTGCTTAGTCGACTGTTCAAGGATACACGAGCAATGCTTACAAGACACCTATGGTCGAAAACCAGTAACCTACGAATATCTCCTACTCTCACTGACCATGTTTCACAGCCATAAAGTAGGACGGAGCGAACTACTGCACAGTACACTCGTCGTTTGGTTAGCAAACGGATATCTCGCCTACACTATAAGTGACGCAAGTTGGCAAAAGCCAGTCCAGTTTTCTGTATCCGCGCTGAGATTTCGTCAGACAACAGGCTATCAGCAATAATGAGACTCACCAGATAAGTGAAGCGGTCTACACGCTCGACTACTTCCCTTCCTACCACTAGTTCAGGTGCCGATGCAACCCAATCTTGAAGCAACAATTTGCATTTCGAGGGTGAAAACCGCATCCCGAACATGCTTGCATTGTTGCTTAAGGTGGTCAGAAGACTCTGCATTTTGTTAGCGTCTTCACCAAGTAGGACAATGTCATCGGCATATTCTAGGTCAGTAAGCGATTTCTATATCTAGGAGCATGTCTATGACAAAATTAAACAAGAATGGGGAGAGTGAACATCCCTGACGCACACCAGTTGAAGTGAAGAATTCCTTTTCAACATCATAAAGGTTCGGAGGGCTTACGTCGACTTGCCATTCAGGATGACTGGAGGTCGTGGGTAACCGAAGTGTGGCTGAAGTCCAGTTGAACTGATCCCTAAAAGGTTCTGCCCATCGATCCAATCTGTTGGATTTAGAATAAATAATACTCCCATCCTTTTCCAAGATAGTCGCACCTCTACAGTAGGATTTCTAATACCAGTTTCCTTGATTAGACGGAAAAGTCCACTGTTGCCTATCGCCGCTGTCAATTCCATCTCTCTAGATTTCGCAACCCACCACTGAGCATTAAAGTCACCAGCCATTATTACTACATCAGAGTGCCTAGCTTTTTGGAGGAGGTCCGAAAGCTTTCTGTAAAACTCATCTTTCACCTCGTCTGAACTGTAGTCAGTGGGGGCATAGGCAGATACGAAGAAGGGGCAAAGACGAGTATCCCCATCTTCCGAGTCCTTACTGTCCCTTTCAGTCGGACAGCGCATAAGCGACTATCTAATGGGATCCAGTCTAGGAGAGCTAGTTCTGCCCTACGACTCAATGCTATACCTACACCAGCGAGACCCCTGGAAGTAGCATCAGGGATACCGGATAGACGAAGAGTAAATCGGGCTGCTTCTTTGTTTTGATAAGGTAGAATCAAATTAATAACTTTACTAGGATCCTGTATGCGCGTTTCCGAGACGCAGCACACGTCGATGACACGAGATTCTAAAGTTCTAGCTAAGGATGCCTGTTGCCCTATTTGACACAATGTCCGTACAATAAAAGCTCCAACATGTAGTCTAGAACAAGGTTTCAAGAGACCAGGAATGACGTTTCGTGAACTCGCATCGTTTGCATTAGCGGTGCAGTCAGATAAGGGAATGTGAGTAGAGTTAGTTGTGGAGAAAAGAGAGGTATGTATGGGTGTAGGAAGGATTTGATTTTGACCAATTTGGTCTCCTGTGCTGTTACAGGTATGAGGGCGGTTGTCACTTCCCGGATGCCCACACCATGGAAGGGTGTTTCTTGAGGGACCTGAAAAGGAAGGTAGATTAGTGTTGGTCATAACGACCTGGCAGCGTGACCGCAGTGCCCACGGGACAACTGCTTGAGGCCGGTCACGCACGGCCTTTTTATGTGAAGTTTTTTGAGTGTTAACTCCGCTCTTGAAAGCTCTTAGTGGGCACCTTTACCCAAAGAGACGGAAATCCGTGAGGTAGGATGAGATGTGAAATTTTTAGGGCCGACCATTTCTAACCTTTCCTTCCTTGTGAAAAGGCTGCTGCGGATGCTGGTTGTACGAGTGAAACACCTTACTGCAGTCACACCCCCCTGCAGTCATCAGTACGACTTCGCCCTCAAACATTTAGTAGTTGCTTTTAGTCCCATCGTTCTCTAATCGACCTGCCTGGCATGGTAAAACCTTCAGGAACATATGTTCCATCCAGTATAGCTCAGTTAGGTCATCACGATAGGCAAGCCCGACCACCACATCAAGGTAACAGCTTCAGTCGGAGCGGCGCACTAAATACCAGTGTGGAGGTGGTACTAATCAACTATAAACTCGAAGCTTTGAAAAACCTGATAATAGCAGCCTGTTGTCAAGATAGAAACAAAATCTATATCTTGAGATTGTTAAATGCCTCTTCAAAGCATTGAGCCACGGAGAACGAGAAGCTTGGTTTGATTCAAGCGTTCTTGAATCAGAGAGAATATCAACTAATAACATACCAATCCATGCATATCTATCATTTGTCACGTATTTATGAAGCTATTACTTCTGCAATTCTGGCATGAGCTTGTGTATGCACTTACTTATTGCAGTATGCTGTTGGAAGTAGTCAAGAAGTTCGCGTATCAGGGCAGATGAAGGAGTTCTGTAAATGTCATGACAAATGAGACCTTTTGACTTATAGTGAAAGGGAGATCAGCTTACGCTAATCTCAACCGTCTTTCAGATCCATCGTGATATTAGTCTATTTTTAAAAGGTCGAGTTTCAAAAGATTTATATAGAGCGGTTTTACCCCATACCTGTAAAACCCTGGCCTTTCAGACTTGAAAATGTTCAGTGACTCTGTCCCATCATCATTGACTTTAACGGACCGGTCACATACAGAAATAACACCACTGTGACAATACGGAGGTCTGACAGCATGTATTCGGGTGCAGTGAATGTAGCTCATTTGGTGTCAACATCTCGGAACGCTGGCTTCGGTGACACAGATAGTCATGATGAATAAATCTCTGGTGAATTCCACACTAGGCATCGTTTGCCGATTCTGCGACTGATTGCAAAATGAGAAGGGGTGGTCAGTTCATCACATGCTACCATGATACGAAGGAAAACGTCTGGCATCTGTTGGTCCATCACGACTCTGGTTTTGGTGATAGTGATGAAGTAACCTTGGTTTGAGACGTTATGAAACATGGTTCAGCACAGAATACTATTATACCTTCTTTTTATATCCATCATAAAAATGAAAGAAACTTCCTTACTGAATGTGTTGTTTATGGTTGTATGATGTTACTGATTTACCTGTCTCTGACAATACTCCCTCCTCCTCACTCCATATCAGTCAGTCAGTCAGATGCAACGTAGAACTTCGTACGTAAGTACATCAGTTCATGTCGCCATACCACATCAGCACAGAGATGTAATTGTCAATTCAAATCCAATAGTAGAAGAGGTAGTAAAGGTATTAGAAGTAATCGGAGAGAAGTAATCCTAACCTCTCCGATTACTTCTAATACCTCACTCCATATATCGCTTCAAAATCACATTTCCTTATTTGTGTAGCGGATATTTATTTTGGATTCCGCTAGTACCAGTATTAATGTGTATTAAATAAATTACATATAAGCAAAACGTCTATTTATCTACCATCTTCACAGTAAAATAACATATCAGAAAAATAAAGAAAGAATGAATTAAACGTACTGGAGGATAGTATGCTAAGTGTGTTATTAATCCAGCAGCCAAAATTCCAGCAGCTGATGCATGAGGCCAAGTATAAGAAAGCCAAGCTAAATTGAAATCGGCATTCGGATGGATTAAATAATCCAGTCGATTTGTATTAGAATTACCATTGATATTATTAGTATTACTAGTATTATGATCAGATATTTTTTTCGCACGAGAATTTACAAAGAAATTATCAGTATTATCATGGGCATTAAAAATGTTGTTAGATCGTAGCATAAAATTACGATTATTATCACTGATTGCATTTAGCAGTTCATCAACTGGTAATAATCCACCATCCGGCGGTCGCATAGATTTGCATGGATTAGAAGAACAAACTACTGCAGGAGACATGGGATTATTATACTTGTCAGTGTTGCAATCTGATATACTTGTTTTGAATGTTTGATTTGGTGTTAGAAACTCCATGATTGCTTTTAAAAATCTAGATTCAATTAGAAAAAAATATGTAAATGTGTAAGTTCTAGATATTACTATTTTCTAGTCGTTAGTGCAATTCAGTGAATCAGTAAAAGCTTTGAAAGCTTTTATCCAGTGAATTTTTTATTGTATATTTCAGCATTTGATTCATGGTATTTTCACCGTCTCCTAAATGTTGTCATATATTCATTCTACTGTCCATAAATTATGGTAAATTGATCATCAAACTTGTTACAATAAATGTCTTAATAATGCACAGATTAAGATTTATCATTTACGATTTTAAATATGTAATCACATTAATTTTAAAGCCATGAATACATAATAATACAAAAGTACTTAGTCAGTCTTCCTTCACATTGCGTTCAGCAGATTGTAAACAAACCAGAATTTTGCGTCAGTAGGCACAAAAGCTATGTTACCGACTGATTATAAGTAGCCAAAAAAATTCACAAAACTATATTTGTTTGCATTCCTGTACATTTTAACATATTCCAACCTTTTTTTTTACCTATGCACTGGTACAAAGTGTTACATGTTTGAAGAGAATACTCTTTTTTGGGTATGAAACTCTTCTACTTAGCAGTATATGCCTATTTTCCTAGTCTACAGTAAATAGCTTAAACAATGTTCAGGGCTAAAAACTAGATCCAAACATTCTCAAACGTTTTTCATGAAAAAACTATAATGACCTAACTCATTAAAATTTATACAAATTATAAATAAAACACAAAGAAGAACTAAATAACTAGTAGTCTATACATACTTCATATGTGATTTTGATTCCCAAGAAAGTGTACGACGAGTTACAGCTAAATAACGTCCTAATGAAGTTAAAATATTCCAATTCCATAGTTCCGGCGATTTAGTATCATATGTAGTCATTTGACACTGACTAAATCGACCATGTTGGGATTTCGGCTTGAATGATAACACATTTGACAATGCAATCAACTGATCTAGAATTGCATCCGTAAGCTAAAAGCACAAGTGAATAGGAACAATGAAACAAAATGAATGCTCTTATAAGAACAATAGTTAGTAAATGAGAATGATAGTAATAGTTTGAAGTCATTTACATTTCTAACAGATTTACGTGAGATGGACGGTAGAAATCGATCTTTTTATTGATCCGCGTACTCCTTTGTGGAACACAATTCAATCAGTCATTACGAAACCGTATAATTGAAAACATATCACCTAGAGGAAGTTTATTTGGAATAAAAAATTTAGCGACAGCAAACAATGTCAAGCAGACACGAAACTTTATTACTATTGATGGATTGAAATTTATTAACAACCAAAAGTATCAGATCACTAGTGTCTGTATAAAACCACTTGTAAACAGAAAACATATTAAATTGATAATTTGTCATCTAGACACAATAGTTGACGAAATGAAACTTTTAAAAACCTAATGGAAGGAAACAAATTGTGTAAATGGAATTGAAGCAGAAGAAGAACGTTTAGGCAAGTTAAAAAAAAAAGATAAAATTATCGTAAAGCGAAACAATAAAAGAAAGGATAGAAACACTAGTAATTATAGGGAAATCAAAGTTATCTAACTCTAGATCAAGTTTAAAGACTGCATGTTTAAATGGGATTGAGCTGACTTGTCTATTTTTTAACCAACGGGAGCAAGCGCATGAATTGGGAAGATAATAATGTCACGTAAACTCCTCAAAAACCCCAGTTTTTTATTACAACGTATTGTATCGTTTAGGCTTACTGGAATATAAATTGTTCCTACTTGATCATTGTTTCGATTTAGGACAAGCCTTGTGGGATTCGGTGTCTAAAGGATACTAAACAGCAGAGGACGTAACGATGTAAAACTACAAGTTAGAGAAAAGATGAATTTAGTTAAGATCTACCTTTATCTCAGAGTTGATTTTCATCATGCCAACGTATTATCCATATGGTTAATAAGTCTAGATAACCCCTGGGTTAGGTAATGAAGTAAGTGTTAATTCTTCTGTATCGGTTTAATCTTGCTATTTGATGTTTAAGATTGCAATGGAACAGTCTGTGCATTCGCATTTGAATTGAAAGATACTAGGTTCGAACCCGGTGCTAAACATCAACTCTGAGGTGTGAGTGCATTCATCCAACAAGTTTCAAATAGGACGAAACACGAGACCTGAACTCTACTAGTAGCCATCATCCAACTTTGTGTAAAAGGTGCTTGTGATTTATTCCTAATACTGAAGCAATTTGAACAGGATGCATATAGGTCAAGAGATTGAACATTCGCGAAGATTCAAACAACCCATATATATCAATCAACATCATCAATTAGACATAAACACAAATGTTATTACTTGCTTGGCTGATCGCAAGTGGCTAGAAACAAAAATATGAATTGCAGCAATGTCGCTTAAAACAAATCGGAGTTACTAAAAATATTCATAAAAATGAGATAGAAGTAAAAAATGAAGCTTAGTTTGTTTAAAGAGTACAACTCAATGAGAAACAGAATAAAATTTGGTTTTTCGTAAATTAGGATAATGATTTAATGTGGGAACGTTCACGACTATGGAAAAAAATAAACTGAAGACAAGAGTAATCAAACATTCATATATATAATGCTGTGAAAAGATGAGCTAACAAAAAATATGACCTAAAACACTATACAGTTGAGCTAGTCGAACACTAAGAATGTGTAGAGTTTCAGACAGGAAAAACGCTTCAAAAGTATTTACCAAACGTACATGTCATATGTAAATGCTTTTACACTCCTATTGTTCATTCCCTAACACATATTTTAATTGTTTATAATAATCTTGCAATGTTTTTAGGTGGAACAAATTCTCAAATCTATATTGATTTTAATTTCAAGCAGATAGATTAAAAGTAGATTTATAATCACATGCCAAATCATTTCATAAGGTTATTACAATGAGTTTTATTCTAAATGTTAGTTAAGTTTAAGAAATAAACTTTTTTTTAAACATACTTCCATCTGATCTTGTAACAATGGATTTAAAGGATAGTAAGTCGGAGGAATATTGTTCCCAGATTGTTTGGCTAAACATTCCAGATAAGGCGAATGCAATGGCACGTGAATAAGATTAGATGTGTCAAGTAGTTGAGCTTCATGCAACTGCATAGCGCGATGTATTCGTTCCAACCATAAGACAGCTAACTGACTACCCGGAGTTTCTGGATGCAATAATCCAGCATGATGTAAACGCCTACAAGCTGGATGTTCTTGAGGTAACAAACTTTCAACCTGCATGGTGAAAACATTAAACACTGAAAACAAATGTAGCTTTAAAAGGAAAGAACTTAACCACACTAAAAATCAAAAACAAATAGAGCAAATTCATTTTGAAATTGTATAATTTAATGAATTGACAATAACTTACAAGCTATTATCTTATACCCTAATAAATTACACATAACACATTATATATGTATAATATAATTAAGACGTTAATCTTTCAGGCATTTATAAATATAAATAATGACAAATAGATAAACACATTTGTGCACTTTATACCTAATCTACAGCGTACAAGATACAAGATGTAAATTAAAATTCTATTTTCAGTAAACACTATTTTTTCAACTACATCTTTGAACATTTGTAAACTACTGTGTTCATTTTACTGTGGTGGTTTTTTCTTGACAGATGAATGACCTAATAAACCAATGGTCACAAAAAGTTTTATTTGTACAACTAAATACCCCCTCTATTTACAGAACAGTTGAACTGAACCGATTTCGCACACTTTACTGTACTCTACTACTATAACACAGAATAAAAACTAAATGCAAAGCTTAGACGATCTTCATTGAATTAATGTAGTAAAAAATACTCTCAGTTGTGGCTTACTGTTTGAAAAACAACGCATTCGTCCGACTAGTTTTTCTGATGGGGAAAAAGCCCAATACTGTAGAAAATTACTATTCCCCTCAAGTGTACACAATATGCCAAAGACTAGTACATACACCAGATATTATGTCGTGATTGTATAAAGATGAAAACTTAAATCCACACAATGGGTAAAAAAATTGATTATTTAAATAGGTATGCAAAACACCAACGAGTGGAATGAATTGACATAAAAAAAAGATATGGGAAAACCTCGGAAAGATATGTTCATTTTACATTAAATGAGACTTTTCTGAAACAGCTTCTTCCGCAAATAGAAAATGAGTCATATTACTTCTAAACATTTCAACGAGTGTTGTTTCAGTAAATAAATTTTTTACTTGGTAAATAAATTGCATTAATGTTATATTTCAGGTCAAATGTATAAATTAGGTTCAAATTAACAATACTCAAGTAAACATATGTAAGATATGATAGATTTACCAACTTACTTTGTAAGCCAACGAACCAAGAAGGTAACCAGCACGAGTAGATGTCAATTGGTTTGAATCAGAAACGGCACGAATCAGAGCCTAGGACGATTTATAAAACAAAAACACTAATATTCCCATATAAATTGGTACATAACATTGTATTCTTATTGCACTGAGTAAAGTGACAGGTATCAAGCAACTAAATAGATTGTAAACGATCAAACATATGTAATTGTATGCTACCAAGAACTAACATGAACATACAAAACTAAATTAAATAAGTTACAGCATATATATATATACATATTCAAAAATAGTTTATTAACACAATCGACAGCAGTTGAAGTCATTTTACTATTTAATTATAGTAATTCATAAAATCATTTTGAATTAGTCAACTAATTTTAGCATATCATGAAGTAATCAGAGAGTGACTACAAGATTCGAAATATTAGGTTTCAAATCTTTACAAACCCTCATACGCCTGATTCATTTTGAGTAGAAGTATGATCTTTTCAGCAATAGGTCAGCAAATCAGTTACAACCAATGACGATTCTTCGGCAAATGTGTATTAACTCAAGTTTCATAACAGAAGCCGAATAATAATTTAGCAGTTGTTCCGAAAGACTAAGCATAAATAATATGGTTCGGAAAGAGAAAATAGAGCTATGAAGGAGTAAAATAAAGAAAGAATGAACAGCCACCACAATTTATTCGTTATTATTTATATGAACACATAAAAATCGATACAAACTAACAGCTAAACACACACACCTCACAAAAATCATTCAATTTCCATGTGGGCTGTGATATCGCCCGAATACTCAAACTCAAGTAAATGGTCTTTCTTCTCATACGACCACTCCACTCCAGTCCTTCAGACCTACACGTCTAATTCACAATACAATCGAACAACGTCACATGATGCAGCACCATAGTAGCTGCTGACCAACAATACATTCATACGTTCCCGCATTCGTTCCTTCAAGATCCTCGAGCACAAGTGCATTATGGTTTGAAATCAGGCTTTTCTAACAACCCTAGACGGATTCTGCGTTTCCACTAACACGGTTGGAGCGCTGGACATTTGTTTTTCAACCACTCAATTTCACAAACAATATCCCCGCTTTGAGAAATCAGTGAGTAGGACTTCCCAGAACGTATACAGGAAAACACAGCGACAGATATACCTCATAAGTTAATGCACGCTATAAGATCTTCGGTCACGACAGTAACAACTCAGTAAATCATAAAACAACGTGTGTGCAAGCAACCCAAACAAAGTCAACACGATTATCGACAACCAATTACAAACCATGTCAACAGGACAAGCTGTTATTCGAAAATGGAGAAATTCTACTATCTCATTTTATTTTGAAGTATATTTTGACGATATTTTTAAGACAATGAAAGCTTCATGATTATCAATTCAGATCAGAGAACACAACACTACTAGAACATAAAGTTGTAAATGACCATGTTTGTTGCAATAACTTTGCGACTTGAAATGTAAGGACGAATATATTATATTGTTTGTATCTAGGTACCGCATATTATTGATGAAAATGATCTCAATACATAAGAACAAAGTGTACATTTATGTATACACATAGACAAGTGGAATCGGCCTTCATGTACTAAATCTATTGTCTTAGTAAATATGAGCCTACTTTTAGTAATTTATACTAATAATTAGTAGTTTTTACTATTGATAACAAATAGATATATGATTCAGGTTGATTGTCTAAAAATATAAACTGATTACTTGTCACTAAATATAAACTGAGATCTAGGTTGATTTACATTTCATATCATTTCAAAAACCAAATAAAAAACGATACAATATACGTGAAAATTAACAATACCACTGTACATTTATAAACATATACAGATCAATAGACAAACACACACCTCGTATAATCCAGCTTGAATCAAAGTAGCAAGTAATATGGCATAATAATTATTCATTAAATCAATTCCAATAGATTCGTATTTAGTTAACAGACGACAACCTTCAGCAGCAATGAAATCACCTTCAATATCCCAAGCACTGGACATCGATGATGATGAAATAAACCTTACTGGTAACATTGAGAATAGACGTCGTGAAGAACTGTCCAAATATGAAGAAGATATTTCGTTGAGTAAATGATCACTTTTTTTCCCTGTTGAACTAGACAAATTTATTACAGGTAGTAAAGAACATGAGCCAGTAGATAGTGCTCCAATAAGACCCAATATGGTTGGCTCTAAATCCTTGACAGATGAATGAGGTATAGGTATTGTTGGAAATAAACCATATAATAAGCTTAATATTTGGTTCTATGAAATGAAGAGAAAAGCGTAAAAACAAGAAAGGTTCAGTATCCATCTCAGAAAACACAACACTATCATCCTTCTTCTGAGCTATACATATATACTTCATCATCTCACTTCTTCATACAAGTCATCATCAACTTAAAGTTACAGCTTAGTGGAAGTATATTTCAATTAGGTTATCAATGAATCCAAGTGCGAACATTCGTTTGTTGGTTACTTTTTGTCTGTGATCTTAGTGTTAAATATGGTAATCTGAACAGGTGTATTATTGATGTTACATCAACTATCTGTCTAAACATACAGGTCACTTCAGACTGTAAAGACTGAATAAGTCAGTCAGTCATAAACAACGTAGTCTCGAGCATAAATGTATATCTCTATCATATTATTATATTAGTTATCAGTAGAGGGTAAGGGGATTAGTAAAATAAAACTCAGAAAATGGAACATGATAATATCGATTGCAATAAAAAGCTGAATAGGAAGAAGTTTAAAACGACAGAATGAGTTAAAGAATGACATCAGACTGACGATTCTGAAGAAATAACCAGAATCACCTGTCTGACTAATCAAAATTCTAATTACACCATTAAATCAAAAGTTCAAGTTTTGTTAAACCTAGCTGAGTGACAAGATCATTTCATTTAACTCTTAGTCAATATGAATTCATAGGCAAATGAACAAAACGCATGATCACTGAATCGTATTCCCAATTAGCTAAGTTCAATGCAATCGCAACACTTCCTCACTAACGAATAGTGAGAGGTCAACATGGAATCTAGCACTAACTATAAACAGTCGGTAAAAATGACTTTAAGAAAAAAAGTTAAATAACTGCCAAAAGCTCTAATACAACAAACATGTGCTCATTATTTAGTACTAATCCAGTGAATCGATTTTATCACACACAGTGATTTGTCCTAACCTTTGAACAGAAAAAAATATCCTAATCTTTCTATTTGTCACATAAACCATGTGACCTTCCTAATAGTTCATGTAACCTTGAACATACTTTAGACATGTGTGTGTACTAGTAATTAGTGTTGGTTCTTTTCATGTTCATAACGACTAAGACACGTATTACTCATCGAGTTGACTGGCCATTTCTGCCAACTCCACTTCAAACTCATTTCTGTGCACCTCGTTAGCTTGCACTATCGAATGTTTGGATTATATGTTTCTCAAATAGTTTTGTATTCGACTTCTTACATCTAAGCTACACTTGACGCGATACATCAACAGAACGTATAAGACGTAAGCAGGATTTATATTTCATTAAGATGCACTCACATGATCAAAATGAAGCCAGACAATAAACTACTAAATCAACAGAATTTCTCTACACTCATTCATCAAAGTTAGAATGTTGGCTACAAATGGAGTCCATGATACGTGGTATAGGTCTAATTTAAACACGTACCTGCATCTAAGTCGTGATTTTCTTGATGAGGCTCGAACCTGAAGCATGATCCATTCACTTATTCAGTCATGATAGCTGCTACTTTTACGCAGCATATATATATAAACTTTTATTATCATATCTGCATAGTGAACTGCAATTTTTTTTAGCTGAACTGTAAAAGGCGGTACTGGCTAATGCCTATGATATCTTAGACAATACAACTGGAAATTAATTATCACTAATAAGAGCACTATCATCACTCCAATCATGTATAGATCCGAAGTATTGAACAGTCTGTTGTTTTACACTCATTATTTAATCTTGCTTTTTAGTGTTCTTACAAATTAGATTCATCCCATTGCACGAATGAAAGATCAAATCCTATTCATTCATTCGTGTTTATTCGATAGTTTTACTTTCTTCAGTCACATTAATGACACAGCTACGAAATACAAACATGAGCCAGTTAGCCGACTAGAAATGAGTAATTAGTCTAGTTTAACAAATAATTACAATATCTGATCTAGCAGTTTGTATTTTCACAACTTACTCTTATTTCCGTATTCCCAACAGCTAACGCATACAGTAGAGTTTGCAACGTTGGGAGACCATCATGAATAAAGTGGAATATACCTTCCAAGAAAAAAAATTAAGAATAAATTAAGGCTTACAACGAAAAATAACAGGGTTCTGTTTCTCATTAAACAACATAATATGTGGTTATTTCACTATCTCTAAAAAGAACTATGTTGTGATTAAAATACAGTTAACAATAGTGATAATAGGTCCCATCTCTGTGCTAATGTGGTAGGGCAACTAGAGCTGAACGAAGTTCTACGTGGTTGTTGATTGATTGATTGATTGATCGATAGTAGGTCCAAGACTGGTTTACAATATTATTTAAACTATTCAGTCGTAAAAGTGTAGAAACTACTACATATATGCGTTGGCGCAAATAGCAACACAATACTAGGATATTGAGATGAAATTATCAAGAAAAATGAGTGCAGTATGAATAATAATAGCATCAGTGGTAATAAAAAACGACAATACGATTCGAGAAGAAAGAATAAACAGAACAAACAAAGAGAGAACACATCTGTGCGATAATGGTCGATTTAGAGCCATGTCATTCAGTGTTTCCAGACATTAGTTGCGATAATCGCAAGGGTCCCAACCTAGTAGTTTTTATTTAAGAACACAGCAGTCAATGACTTTAAAAAAGATATTGTTGTTAACTACCATTACACAATGAAAATCTCAATTAACAGCTTAAAAAGAAGATAGGAGATAAAACCAAACACACGTGTAATTAAAATAATAATTTGATAATGTGAGATACCTGCACACACACTACAGATGAAAAAAACAGCACAACAAAGTCCACAAATCTGTTGTCATTGAAAAAACGACCATTGACGACTAAGTATAACTAATAGCTTTGAGTAGTGAAGAAAAAAATTAACAACTGAGTGATATTGTTAGTGAGTATTTCATGAACTGATTCTTCTTAAAGTGGAAAGATATAGATTGCAGATCGATAACAAGTATTGACCGAGTGATGACCACTCACAAAACCAATTTACCCACGTATCCCCCTCCCGAACGGTTTGAAATCAAAGGTAAGAGAGCACTAGCCAGAAAAATAAGTTTGTAACGCAATAAAATATTGACAACAAAACAATATGACCAGGTATCATAAAAGGTTAGGGGAGATCAGTTTGTACAAACTTTCTAACCAATGAAGACCTGGATAATAAACATCTTTTTCGGGCCTTATGTACTTGTCACTTTGGCAATGAATGCCTAATATTAATACTCTTTTCTTTTTATTTCCTTAACTTTTACAAGGCCTATTTCCACAAGTTTCTTATAGATCGTTTTGGTATTTGCCGCCGGACGGCACATGCACGCTGTGAAAACAGAACTGAATATTAGCTCGAAATCAAGACATTAACCGTGTGCATTTTCGTAAAGTAGTGTATTTTCTATTATTTCTAGAGATAGGACGACAGAGTAAACCGGACAGAAATAACATTTGAAAATGGAATAGTCGACGCCAATCATTCACAAATGTGAAAATAATGGTATTATTTACCATTAAGCATGAGCGGCAATAAAATGTATTCAGTTAACTGGAAAAATAAAGACTAGAACCCTTCACTTTGAGGAGACTGGAGATAATTTAATGAACATAGATTATAAAATATAGTGTTTTACAGGGTGTAACGCAATATCCACGAAAACGTTTTTAGCGATGGTATTGGTTGGTTGAATATTGATCAATTTTACATGAACACGATATTTTGGAGAACTTTTGGATTTTTTGCCGCGTCACAGTTCAAAACGATAAAAGGAGGAAGAACCCCTTGAAATTTTTATCGTTTACAATCTCAAAACAATACTTGGAAAAAGAACCCTTGGATTACTTATCATTTACTATTTTTAAACTGTATTTTGGGAAGACGATCTTTTGGTCCTTTTGGATTTCTCATTGCCGAAGAAGCTTTACCGGTGAAATTTTATATTTGGTCTTTCTTGTTTCCTTTCCGTTGAATTTCAATTGGTCATGAGTTCTCGTAAGAAAGCAAACACGAAGAGAGGTGGAGTCCTTGAAGAATCGCGGGATATGAGGCAAGTCCCTTATGAAACTTCATTTTTAAAGGGTTCACTTTCTAGTAAGGACGATATTATGCTTAGTACTTATTGTTGTAAGTCATCATTAGAGGGTACTAAGGAACGAAGTTTGGACGAGGACTTAGAGGTATCTGGGAAGGATTTGAGGTCTAGGACACCGGTAGTTGGATTAGAGTTGCCAAAGGTAGAACTCCCTTTCTTCGATGGCAGACACCGCGATTACTTTAGGTTTGTAAAACAATTCGATACATTCATAGAACCTAGAGTTATTGATGACAATCTGCGCTTATTGTACTTAATTCACTATTGTTAGGGAAAGGCGAGAGATGCGATTGAAGGATGTCTTATAATGGAACCCCACGCAGGATATAAAAGGGCTAAGGCGATTCTAAAGCAGCTTTTCGGACAATCGCACGTAATAGCTCGTGAAACCTTGGAACCCAGAGCAATTGTTGAATTTGGCAATTAAGATGCAGAACGTTGCTCTGACCCTGGAACAATTAAATTGTACAGCGGAACTAAACTCCCTAGTAACTTTGGAGCGAATAGTTAGGATTTTACCGCGGTCCATGCAAGTTCAATCAGTCAGTCAGTCAGTCAGTTGCAACGTAGAACTTCGTACGTATGTACATAAGTTCATGTTGTCATACCACATTATTAGCACAGAGACGCAAATGTCAAATCAAATCCCATAGTGATAAAGATAGCAGAGGTATTATTGTTAATAAAGAAGACTAGGGTTCGAAGATATTATTCAAAAAATATAATTCAGTGAGATAAGGTTAGAAAGACAAAGGTAGAGGTGCTGGCTAATCCAGAAGATTAGGATTTGAGAGAGCTCAAAGAGTGGATGCACTTGCGCCATTGCAAACGATTTTGAGCCATGTCGTTCAAGGTCTCTAACCATTGATGACTTTCGTCTCGCGGACCCCAACCAGGTAGTCTACATCTACCAACATGACTCAGTCCACTTGTCAGTGACTTCATGGATTTCTGCCATGTTTTGGTCTGGCCGCCCCTAACTTTCTTCCAAGTTCAATGGGTGGAACTCTCCGTAAGATCGATGGAAGAAGATAGGGAGCCGACGTTCACCGAACTTACTGAGTTTGTATTAGCTCGAGCTAGAATAGCTGGTAGCAGATTCGGTCGCCTGGTCAATCGACTGAAAATAGGACGAGATGTGAAGATGAACTGCCACCTTCAATCGAAACCTGCAAATATATCGACTATAAGACTTAATTGTAGCATTTGTACTGGCGATCACATGGTTACTAAATGCCCCCAATTTTTAGAGCGTACCGTTCAAGACAGATGGAATCAAGTTAGAAAAAACGGAATGTGTTTCATCTGTCTGAAGCAAGGACATAAGGCTAGTGGCTGTAAAACGACAATGCGTTGTAGTGTCGATAAGTGCGAGAGAAAACATCGTGTTCCTTGTTCCTTAGTACCCTCTAATGATGACTTACAACAATAAGTACTAAGCATAATATCGTCCTTACTAGAGAGTGAACCCTTTAAAAATGAAGTTTCATAAGGGACTTGCCTCATATCCCGCGATTCTTCAAGGACTCCACCTCTCTTCGTGTTTGCTTTCTTACGAGAACTCATGACCAATTGAAATTCAACCGAAAGGAAACAAGAAAGACCAAATATAAAATTTCAGGGCCCGTGAAGAGCAGATTCGAGAAAACCAGGCTGGTTTCAGATCTGGACGAAAGATTAGAGGATATTCGTATGTTACTGGTCTTCGATCATAGATCTCCAAAGCATTGCTCGTGTATCATGGGACAAGCGGGAAAGCAATGTTTGTGTCAGGAACAGGGTATACTAGGTGAGGATGGAAAATCAATAGATGCAGTAGTGAATTTTTATCAGTTGAGGAGTCTCGGACAAGCGTTGCGTATGCCCAATCACAGACTGCTTCAACAAGCGATATCTTTTGATGTAGGAGTGAACTGGAAGAAGGCTAGGGGCGGCCAAACCAAGACATAACACAAATCCTTACAGTCACTGACAACTGGATTGAGTCATGTCGATAGGTGTATACTTCCAGGTAGGGGGTCCGCGAGTTGATAGTAATCCATGGTTAGAGACCCTGAATGACGTGGCTCAAAATCGTTTGCAATGGCGCAGATTAATCCATTATCCGTCTTCTCTCAAATTCTAATATTCCAAGTTCCTCATGACCTCTTCTCTCTCTTTAAGTTTATTCCACTAGGATATAATTCTTTAATAATATCATCGAAGCCTGATCTTTTCGAATACAACTAATACTACTTCTACCCCTGCAACTATGGCATTTGAATTGATAATCCCATCTCTCTGTGATAATATGGTAAGGCAAATTGAAATGATGTATGTATGTACAATTTTCTACGTTGTTGCTAACTGACTGACTAACTGTGAAAACACATAATATGAATGAATGCATATCATGCTAAAATTATCGCATATTAATAGAACAAAAAAAAACCAACGCACAATTACATTCAAACCTTACCCGGCCATGAACGTAGCAGAAGAATTAGACAATTTCTAGCACATATCGGAAAAGAAGGATATCTATCATCACAATCCAGTGAGAATTATATTATCAAAACAAAGAAGAAAGAAAAAAGCATAGATAACCTCATTAATATTTTTTTAAAAGTGCTGACTAGAAATTTAATAATTTTTAGTTGTACTTTACAGCAGAGGAAACTGTGTAAAGATTAAGGTATAGATAGGTTTCGACGATAGAAACACACAGACCGAGGAATGCAGAAAATATGTTTACTCAATCAATTTTAGTAAATGCTTATGTTCTTCCTTTTTGACAACCCGAATAACCTATGTACGCTATAAATAGTCTTTGATTTATACACTTTAGTTTTGAAATGAAGGTTCTGTTCTATTATACTACTATCGTTTAATCTGTTCACTATTCAAGATTTGCATTCTTCTGTGTTTGGATTATATGTCTGCTTAATAAGCTATTAGAAGATATTTTTTTACACTCACATAACTAACACGATTCTCATAGTCAGCTCAATAGAAACATACAAAACTACGATAAAATGACGATAGACAATTATTATAGGTAAACAGTAAATTGAAATGCAATAAAGAATCAAGACGTATAGTATCTTGATTCAAAAGTATGCAATGGAAATTACGCTACACTTTAACGCTGTAAGAGAAAATTATCACCTGATCTCATTTTTTTGAATACTGGTATAATTTAAAAGAAAATATATAAGTTTATTATTGCAACAAACTCACATGTCGAAAGATAATTTTGGTCGAGACAGTGAATAAGATGGAGATGTGAATGTAACAAAGAATTTCTGCAATTGAATTTTTTTTTATTGAAGAGAGAAAAATTGTGAAAACGCATTATAAATATTTTTTTTAAAGAAAACATGAAAAACAAATGATGAGTATTTGGTAACAGTCTAAAAATTTACCTCACAAGGATAAAATTATCAATACACGCAAGTCTAATTCATTATTCGTGCACTTTGAAGTAACCATATACTATGAGTGAATGATATGAGTGAAGCTAAAAGTACCGTAACGGTTCAATGATACAAGGATATTGACCTTTAACTATTGAATTTGCACAGTGACCGAATATTACAAGCAACTTAGTTGGTTGAGACATGTGTTACACAGCCCTCAGGAACGCCTACTGACAGAGGTTGAGATAGGTAAAGACTTCCTGGTTGGGGTCACTGGTTTAAGAAACTGCAAATAATCTCAACCCAACAGATGTATCATCCTCTAAATCTTGAATTTTAATGCCAATGCATATATTTTATACGATGAATTAATTTATTCTTTCTGAAACATGCTCATGATGAGAAAAGTTTTTAGTAATATCATTATTAATCTGAGTTTCTTGCTATTTATCCTGTTAATGTTAGCGTGCTGTGGTGATATGTGGTGCAACAAGTTGGAATGATACAAACTTACACTGTGTTCTAAGTTGAATATGGTTAACTGAATAGCTCATTAAAACTATATTTAAGCCTACTTTAATTTAGGTGACGGGTTACAAATCACTAGGCCATACCATAAAATGTAGCTAAGAGCTAGGTATACAATTTAAGACTTCAACAGTATTATGTTTTACCATACTATACCAGAAAAAATTACATATTTTTTATAGCCAAGATTATTAATTTATACTCTAGCAACCGTCATAACTTATGGTTACTAGTAAATGTGTTCGCTTCGAGTATGTACCATACTTATCATGGCTAAAAAAACTATGAAATCACCGTTACCTAATCACGATTCGGTTAACCACATCAAACTAGATAACATTGGATTGCTTAGTAAAGTCAGATTATACGGACAGCCTTGAATGACACATCAACTAGTCAGAAGACATATGTGGTTATGAAAAATAATGATAAAAAGAAGTATAACATGTATGAATAAATATCTTGAACATGATTAATGAATTATTTATCATACTTGAGGAAAAAAGGCCAGGTTAGATATTAGGAGTTGGGATGGGCTTATAATGTAGGGTTAGAAGAATTTAATTGACAAAATGCAGATCATTCACACAGATCGCTCTAATTATGCAGTACTTTAATTTACAACCTGTATCAGAATAGCGCACCTCTTGTAATTTCGCTTACAGATGATGTCACATTCTGTATGAGTGTAGAAAAGGTATTTTATCAATTTTAAGCACGTTACTAAGTAGATATAAACCATTTTACTAAGTTCTTAATAAAACATATATTATGCTTTGCTGCGCCTTGAACTTGGCGCAAAAATCAGAGAGACGTCATCATACACATCCATTCAAGGTAACCAATATAGTGAGCTTTTATCTCGTAATTTATGTACAACACACGTAAACACTTAGTGTGAAAACTTCCTACTTGTGGCGATTTATAAACAATTGAGAAAATAAAGAAAGCTAAGTATCAGTCAATCCTAGTTGGTAATCAAACAGAGTGAACATGGTGATGGCTAAGTAGCTATTATAATTGATTCGATGAATGGAACTGAATGGTTGTTTACTAAAGCAGGAACCATCAATTTGCTGATTAGATTATCTAATACAGATAAGGTACTAGTACTACCGAACTCCAAAATAAATATCCGCTACACAACAAATAAGGAAATATGATTTTGAAGCGATATATGGAGTGAGGAGGAGGGAGTATTGTCGGAGACAGGTAAATCAGTAACATCATACAACCATAAACAACACATTCAGTAAGGAAGTTTCTTTCATTTTTATGATGGATATAAAAAGAAGGTATAATAGTATTCTGTGCTGAACCATGATTCATAACGTCTCAAACCAAGGTTACTTCATCACTATCACCAAAACCAGAGTCGTGATGGACCAACAGATGCCAGACGTTTTCCTTCGTATCATGGTACCATGTGATGAACTGACCACTCCTCCTCATTTTGCAATCAGTCGCAGAATCGGCAAACGATGCCTAGTGTGGAATTCACCAGAGAGTTATTCATCATGACTATCCGTGTCACCGAAGCCAATGTTTCGAGATGTTGACACCAAATGAGCTACATTCACTGCACCCGAATACACGCTGTCAGAACTCCGTATTGTCACAGTGGTGTTATTTCTGTATGTGACCGATCCTTTAGAGACAATGATGATGGGACAGAGTCACTGAACATTTTCAAGTCTGAAATGCCAGGGTTTTACAGGTATGGGGTAAAACCGCTCTATATAAATCGTTTGAAACTCGACCTTTTAAAACCAGACTAATATCACGATGGTCTGAATGACGGTTGAGATCAGCGTAAGCTGCTCTACCTCTCACTATACGTCAAAAGGTCTCATTTGTCTTGACATCTACAAAACTCCTTCATCTGCCTTGATACGCGAACTTCCCGACTACTTCCAACAGCACACTGCAATGAGTGAGTGCATACACAAGCTCATGCCAGACTTGCAGAAGTACTTTACACTTAAAAGATGCAAAGCACAGGTTGCGTTTACGAACTTTGTCTCCTAACAAATTTAGTGAGATGTGTATAAATTACCATTTCATAATGGCATTTTATTCAATTTTAGCTTAACATATTGTCGAAATAAACAGCCGAATGTATATATGTAAAATGAGAAAATATTACTTACCGAAATAAGACTATTAGGTAAAAGTTGTGCATACTCTGAATGATTAAGAACTGTAATCAACGATAGCATAATAGCTTCATAAATACGTGACGAATGATAGGTATGCATTGTATTATTATTGCATACAAATGTGGTCATCAATGCTTGGATGATAATTTGTCCAATTAATGGAAATAATAATAGATTTTCTTTTATTTCATTATCAGTTAAAAGGTTCGACTTGTTGTGATTATCGCTAGTATGATGATGACAATAATTGTAGTTATAAAAGTAATGGTAATAATAGTAATAATTGGAATGCGATAATTTAATTTTTGAATGTTTAACGATTGAGGGATTTGTGCGTACAACAAAACGTTCTAAGGCTAAAATAACTAGAGAAAGCAAATACAAGAACTATTGTTAATGATTTGCAAATATAATACAGTAAAGAATATATTTTCAGTTATCTGTGAAATTATAAATCACTTCATTAAAGTCGCATAAAATTTAGCTAAATAATTCACTTATCACGTATCGGGTTAGTGCATCTGGCGTTGAGTTACACTTTAAGTGTGATGGGGTGGCGTATCACCTGAATGTTCAAACCGGCATAGATGGAGAGTAGGGTTGCAGCCTGCGAATACGTCGCTGAAATTTAAACACCATAACAATCGCCTCATCGTTTAAACTAAAGAGAATGGATTATTATTCTGTTGAATAGCAAGATAATTTGAAGAGATGAACTGTCTTATTCAAGCTATGAATATTGGATCGCCGATTTAACTTACCTAGTGCGGTTTTGATAACCAGATTAATATCCAGTTATTCATCGAAGTAATAAAAAAGTGCCCACATTCCCTAATCCCATTAAGAACAGTAAATTATTTATCACAGGTTAAATATATTCAGAATGTCTTGAACGTACATCCTCTAGGCAAATTAAAGTACTGCTTCCTACCTTTACTGGAAATCCAAGATCTATCATTTTATGATGAAATAGTGTGACAATTTATTCGTTATTATTTATATGAACATATAAACAAAGGTACAAACGGGCAATCAAACAAATATACGCCAAACAAATCACTGAATTTCCATGTGGGCTGAGATATCGCCCGAATACTCAAACTCAAGTAAATGGTCTTCTCATACGACCACTCCACTCCAGCTTAGGCTCAGACTTATAAAAAGCTTACGTAACGACCGAGAACAGTGGTGGGTGGCGAAAGCAAAAGCGATGGAAAAGGCAGCGGCGATAGGCAACACTAGACAACTTTTCCACCTTATCAAAGAAACCGGTATTAGGAACCCGAATGTGAGTGAGACTATCTCGGAAAAGGATGGTCTTATTATGCAGTCTCAATCCAGGAGATTGGAACGATGGGCAAAACACTTTAGGGATCAGTTCAACTGGCCTCGAGCCACACTTCGGTTGCCCACGAACCCCAGGCATCCTGAATGGCAAATCGATTCAAGTCCTCCCAGTCTACATGAAGTTGAGAAAGCTATAGGAAATCTACAGCGAGGAAGAGCGGCAGGTCCTGATATGCTTACCCCTCAGATATTTAAGGAGGGTGGTTCAGTTTTGACAGTTAGACTGACCGAGATTCTAGGTAGAATCTGGGAACTGGACGTAATCCCATCTGACTGGTCTCAGTCGCTAATTGTCCCAATCTACAAGGATAAAAGTCCTCTTGTGACAATCACATGGGAATAAGGTTAACTAATATAGTGTCTAAATTGTTAGCCTCGATTATACTTAGACGCCTAACTACAGCTCGTGAAGAGCAGACTAGAGAAAACCAGGCTGGTTTCAGACCTGGACGTGGTTGTATAGACCGCATCTTCACACTACGACAGGTCCTGGAACACAGACGCACATTTAGACGTCCGACAATAATCGTGTTCCTGGACCTAAAAGCGGCATATGACTCGGTGGATCGTGAGATTCTGTGTCAGTGTCTGTCATTGAAAGGTGTACCAAAGAAGTACATTAACCTTATACAAGCTCTCTACTCGAACACTACTGGTCGAGTGAGAGCATATGGCGAACTGTCATCTGAATTCTCTACATCAAGTGGTGTCCGTCAGGGATGTCCACTCTCTCCATTCTTGTTCAACTTTGTCATAGACATCCTCTTAGAGTTAACATTAAGATCGTCAGATTTTTCAGGCGTTGACCTTCTACCAGGAATGTCGCTTACTGAGCTAGAATATGCCGATGATTTAGTTCTATTCGGTGAAGACGCTGACAAAATACAGAGTCTTCTGACTACCCTAAGCAACAATGCAAGCATGTTCGGGATGCGGTTTTCCCCGTCGAAACGCAAAATGTTGCTTCAAGATTGGGTTGCATCGGCACCTGAACTAGTGATAAGGAGTGAAGTAGTCGAGCGTGTTGAACACTTCACTAATCTGGAGAGTCTCATCAGCGCTGATAGCCTGGTGACTGACGAAACCTCAGCACGGATACAGAAAGCTCGATTGGCCTTAGCCAACCCGCGTCACTTATGGCGTAGGCGAGATATCCGTTCGCTAACCAAAGGACGGGTGTACTGTGCAGCAGTTCGATCAGTTCTCCTATACGGATGCAAAACATGGCCGTTAAGAGTAGATGTTCGTAGGTTACTAGTTTTCGATCATCGATGTCTCCGAAGCATTGCTCGTGTATCATGGGACAACCGTACAAGCAATGCTGTCGTTAGGAAACGAGTTCTAGGTAAGGATGGCAAATCAATAGATGAAGTAATGAAACTTCATCTGTCGAGGTGGTTGGGACATGTGTTACGTATGCCTAACCACCGACTGCCGCGACGAGCTATGTTTCGCAGTGTAGGTGTAGATTGGAAGAAAGCTAGGGGCGGCCAAACCAAAACATGGCAGAAATCCATGAAGTCACTGACTAGTGGACTGAGTCATGTTGGTAGATGTAGGCTACCTGGTTGGGGTCCGCGAGACGAAAGTCACAAATGGTTAGAGACCTTGAACGACATGGCTCAAAATCGTTTGTAATGGCGCAAGTGCATCCATTCTTTAAGCTCTCTCAAATCCTAATCTTCTAGATTCGTAAGCACCTCTACCTTTGTCTTTCTAACCTTATCTCACTGAATTATACTTCTTGAATAATATCTTCGAACCCTAGTCTTCTTCATTACCATTAATACCCCTACTATATTTATCACTATGGGATTTGATTTGAAATACGCAGAGGGAATTATCGACGAAACAGGCTACTTCTCTCAATGATGCATCATTATTAGCAAATAAACTGAAGATGTAGCTCACTAATTTACAAATTGATTTAATCAGAGTTTAGACTTAAAACAAAATGTAAATTAGTTCAATATTGATTGGTGAAAATAAAACCTTAGTACGGTAAAGGAGAAATTATTAAATCAAAATGTAAATTAATCACAAAATAAAACGAAAATAACTAATAAACGTTTTTAGTTTAGATGTAAACAGTCAAATCGAAACCCTTACCTAATTCAGCAAGAATTAACAAACAACCTCGAATAGTGGTATCTAACTCCGGATCATTTAGATCGCTTGTTTTAACTTTTGCTTCTCCAAAATTTCCAATACGACGGAGACGATTGTCGGATATATGACGTGGTACAACTGCAGGTACTCCCGCACCTGAAGCCACATGACCACCTCCTTTATAACTAGATTCATTTGAATTAGCAACTAAATAACGATGAATTTCTAAACAAGGAGCAGCAACAGCATGAATTATGCTTGAAGGAATCAATTGTGGTGTAAGTTGAGTGAGGTAGTAAATCAGATGTAGTACAATCTGGCGCTCACCAGTAGAAGATAGGAAAGGTGACGAAGAATTTCTGGTTCCTATAGACGATTTGATAGGACGACCGGTATCCAACAAAGGAGGACGGGAGAAACCTTAATAAACAAAAACTATTTCCATTAATCTAAGTTCAACAAATAATTCTCTGATTGAGAGCGTACAAGCTTTCAACAAAAACCAATAATTGAGAAACAATTGTATGAAAATTACCGACTAGTCATCAATGATGTAGAGCCTATCATAAATATGCGTTGACTTAAGTTACTATACCACACTAGCACGACAATATCAAGCTAACAAGATGAATTGCAAAAAATTTAAATAATATAGCGGTAGTGATAATGAGAACGATTCAATATTTGGAATATACTTTGAAAAGATCGAATGGATAGGTATGTATGGAGAAATATTACAATTCAAGATCTAGAGGAAGACAGAGCGAATGCACCTGAGCCATTTTGAACGATTGTGAATACCGTTATCAAGAACCTCCAAATCCCGTGAACCCCAACCAGGTAATCTGCATCTATGAACAGGGTTCAAATAAGCAATCAATGACTTTCGCGACTGATGTCATGTCTTGATTTGTTGTCCCTAGATTTATTCCCAACTACTTCCTACACCAGTAAACACCAAAGTAGGAAGTGGTTAGGCATAGTTAACACATTCTCTAGGCATCTCAGTCGACGAAACCTATAACATAAAGGACCGATTTCCAACTTTTCTCTAGTTCAATACGTTTAACCCTAACGTTACTCATTTGATCGTTTCATGAAACGCAAGCAATACTTGAAAGACATCTATGGTCAAAAACTTGTGACCGTACAGAAATAGATGGCGAATCGTTGGGCAATATACATTCTCCTTTAGTTGGTAGACGACCATCTTCCCTATGCCACAAACGTTGGAAGTTTTCAAAGGTCAACCACACTTTCCGAATCCATACCGAGATTATCGAAATTGTAGTCGATCGATAGTATCGAAGATATGGTGTGCTACTTGTTTAAATCAATTGCGTGGTATCTTTTCTAAGTCAATGGATGACCTTAGGTCATTCAATTACTCAAGCAGTTTAGTTGCTTACTAGAAGACGGATAACTATCATACAATTTCGCACGTAGCAAAATCTAGGGGCAATATTCCTAACAGTTATCAAAAGGCATACACAAAAATTTCTAAACAAAAGCTGGTTAATAAAACATAATATGAAATAACTGGTAGGTAAGTAGACTACTACTGATCTCGTCTAATTTCAATAAAGATTTCTTTTGTAAAATAAAATTAACTACGCCTAGGTTTATGACATAATTTCTGGTTATGGAGTTTTTAGAAAAATTTCTACAGGACGAAACAATTTAAAATATTGTATATGCATTCGTCGTTTGAACTAGCGACACAACTTGACTTCTATCTGAACAATTACAATGATACCCAAACGAACTATTATGCAAGTCCCATAAATATTGTTCGTTTTAATTCTCCATTTTTTTTGCGCTAACGTAATCTTTCTTTAGACAATCTGTAGCTTGTATCTTGAACTACAATACGAGGATAATCATCACTTTTACCGATTCGATCGCTTGTAAGTCTCATATTACAATCAATTTTCAAATATGACCGACTCTTTAAAAAAAAAAAGGATCAATGCTGAAAACGAACATAAAGCGTCACAACATACGCGTAGTATTTATCCTTCTCTTGAATAAAACACCAGAGAATTGATTATGATCACTAGAAAGCAGATGACTTGACGGTTCTTCACATAATTGATGAGATGAATCACATTTTGTACTTATTGATGGGTTCGTGGTAACGAAAAATTTAGAGCGAGGTTTATTGTTTACACTTGAGGTAGCCGAAGAATTTCCTGGCAACTCATTTGATGATGAAATAAAGTTGGTGGGATAATAAGACAAGTCCATACATCTACAGTAAGATTATTTAACAAAAACACACAGAACTGACATTATAGTCTACTTATTTTATGTATATAAAAATATGCCAATTAGGAAAAAAACACATTCCATTTTGAAAAATTTCAAAATTAGAATTATGCTATAAAGAGTATTTTTATGTAAATACATAAACAAAGATACAAATGGGCAATTGAACAAATATATGCCACACAAATCATTCAATTTCCATGTGGGCTGTGATATCGCCCGAATACTCAAACTCAAGTAAATGATCTTCCTTCTCATACGACCACTCCACTCCAGTCTTTCAGACCTACACGTCTAATTCACAATACAATCGAACAACGTCACATGATGCAGCACCATAGTAGCTGGTGACCAACAATACATTCATACGTTCCCGCATTCGTTCCTTCAAGATCCTCGAGCACAAGTGCATTATGGTTTGATATCAGGCTTTTCTAACAACCCTAGACGGATTCTGCGTTTCCACTAACACGATTGGAATGCTGGACATTTGTTCTTCAACCCCTCAATTTCACAAACAATATCCCCGCTGTGAGAAATCAGTGAGTAGGACTTCACTGGCCCTGGCTATATACTCATGATCATATTACAGCATTCTGAACGACTTCCTTCATTGACGACCGTATCAGGGCATCATTTGTAGGCAAATGGAAAATTTAAATTTGTACAACTTGATGTAGTAATTAAGCGGAATACAGTTTTGGAATCCTGTTGAAATAAACAATTTTTTAGGCAATAAATTGAATGATCGAGAACATTTATAGGTAAAAATAAAGGTTTTGGAGTTGTCGTATTCTCTAAGCTGGACGATGTAATCAAAAAGCTTTCATTGACTTTCTGGACATTACCAGATCCCGTTTCAAAAAAAATTGTTCTGCTGGCATTGATATTAAATCTTGTTAATAACTGTAGAGTCGTTGTTGGCACATTTACTTTTATTGTATTTTCCGTAGGTCAGACAAATCAGATTGTTATACTCATCAGTAAAACGTTCTACGTACTTTGTTACGTCGAAAAAAAAAGTAAATAAAGTACGAATAAGACAGCGTGCAACTGTCGATAAATACCGAAATTTTGAATCTTCGGGTTGTTTCAAAATATTTACAACTTACCGAGCAATCAATAGATCTAGACGACATTCCAAAAGTAGTGCAACATCAACAGTGCCATGTATGTAATAACGCAGGCAACGTAAAGCTGCACATCGCAGTGAAGGATTGTAATGCCAAAGTGGTAAACGCAAACTGAACGGAAAGTTAACATTAAATAAGAAGGGGTTAAAATTCTTAAATTCCATATAAATCATCGGTTTGAGAAACCAAATAATATCTATGAAATTAAATTCTTGTTTGAACTATATTCAAGCACATCATAAAGGAAAATGAAGAATTAGAAGAGGATAGCGTTTACCAACAACTGCAATCGGACAAGCAAAACATTATAACTGAATAATTGCCATCGAGAAAGTCAGAAAGCTAATAATCAGTGAAATCAAATGATAATGCAAATGGTTCGAGATAAAACCAAACAAACCATTGGACTCGGACTAACTGGAGGCCAAAAGAAACTAATCATACTTGCAGCATGATGTAAAGCTTATTGTTTTAATCCAGTATGAATTTGCACATACGCTATGGTGATGAGTATCAAACCAGGCTGAAGTAGTTGTTTGATACTCTTAAGGCTTAATATCAGTCTATAATGAAAGGAAATTCGATATTAGTTAAAATAATCTGAAACTTCTGTTTCTTCTAACGGCAACTAAAAAATGATTTAAAAACTTTAGGGTTTGGATAAAATAAAATCAATAAAGGGCATGGTTACTGAATCAAGTATTAAAAGTATTCTTTTCTAACCTTTACACTCATTACTAACTAAAAGATAATCATTTTTATAGAGTTATTGAGAGGTTAGTAATTCGGATGACATAATCAACATGAAAACAATTGATATAAAGTGGAAGACTTGAGAAATATTTCACAAAAACTAAATAACTGACAATTAATTTTCATCTAACTGACAGAAACCGGATGATTAATTTTTTAAATGATAAATATGTAAAACTGTGGTAAATGAAGTATGCAGTTTCTGTTTGTTCGGAATTCAGTAATTAATGTAAAACAAAAAATGTTGATAATCTACTAACACACTATCACAATGCTGTTTTATCATTGCACAAATATTGAAACGAGGAAACACATAGTTTAGTAAACTTTAGTCAGGTTATATGAGAAATAACAGAAAATATTTTAAATATATTGGGTGGTTGGACTTTAACATTGACGTATCGATAACCATTTCAATTTCAGTTTATCGTTGAGTTAAGAGAAACATAATGGAACTATTTACAAATTATGATCTAAAAAATTCGAAATAACTAAACATACTACAAACTGAACATGACATAAAGAACGTAATTAAAATTACTAAATTAAATTCGACGCAGAGTGACCTCAGTTGCAGTCAATTCTAAACTTCTTCAAAGAGAGACTCAGAACTGGGGTAAATATACTAGTCTGATTTATGTAGAAATTTTCTTCAACAAGTAAATAGCAACACAGATAATTTGTAATTTTTTCAAAGACTAGTAAAACCCGAAAATAAGTAGACCTAGTGGTTAGAAATTTTATTCATCCGCTGTAACAAACTAAATGAAATAAGTCGCACTAAGCATCCGGGTACAGGTTCTAACACTAAACTACTGGATACGTCTATTATGGTAAGGATTCAGGCTGCTAGGTCACTTAAACAAATCAGTCACAACTTTCATTTCAGTCAATGAAGCAACCAACTAGATTGGTCTCGTCTGATCAACTGATATGCAATAAGTATCAGTCTCAAACCTACAGACCAGATTTTTATAAGACTACCACCTATTAAAAACTACAAAGAAAGTAGCTAAAAATATATCCCACACTTTCTTAGTGAAAGACGACAGTAGTTATTACTGTTATTTATTTCAACACATAAACAAAGGTACAAATCGACTATTGAACAAATATATGCCACACAAATCATTCAATTTCCATGTGGGCTGTGATATCGCCCGAATACTCAAACTCAAGTAAATGATCTTCCTTCTCATACGACCACTCCACTCCAGTCTTTCAGACCTACACGTCTAATTCACAATACAATCGAACAACGTCACATGATGCAGCACCATAGTAGCTGGTGACCAACAATACATTCATACGTTCCCGCATTCGTTCCTTCAAGATCCTCGAGCACAAGTGCATTATGGTTTGATATCAGGCTTTTCTAACAACCCTAGACGGATTCTGCGTTTCCACTAACACGATTGGAACGCTGGACATTTGTTCTTCAACCACTCAATTTCACAAACAATATCCCCGCTGTGAGAAATCAGTGAGTAGGACTTTCCTGGTCCTGGCTATGCACACATGGTCATATGAGCGCATTCAGAGGCTCTTGACTCTCGACCTAACAGCTTTTGAACCCCCGACTCTCAAATGACAGTAATGTCTGAGCGGACAGACAATCAAGAACATGAGATAGAAGAAAAAATAAAAAAGTATTCCGTACAAAAATTTCATGTACTCTTCTTTTGTCTTCAACAGCTAAGTCGTAGATCGATGGCTAAAGCGTTTAACTATCAGGTTCACACAATCGTACTTTATCTCGACTACCATCACCAGCTTTTATACAAGATGTTTGTGAATTATGATTTTGTGCATGAAGGTGGACATGGATAGTGAATAACATTTACATCTCTTTTCCTTATCTGGTATAATTAATAAATTATTTCTCATCAAAATACTATTTCATAACGAAGCGACCAGACATTCCGTAGCGTTTACAAATGAGTCTGTCACAAACATCGTGGAAGATAGGACACAAGTTTATCGATCTAAGTATACATGCTTCGTTCTAGTAAATTAAGAGGAGCAATCAACAGGATCAAAAGCCCAATAATTATATCAACAGCAATGGAAAACTAAACATAGAAGATATAACTCAATCGGAACGACTGAAGTATGATAATAAAATTCGAAGTTCATAAGATTTAAAAATGAATATATGAACAAGTGTAGACACGAAATCTATGACTATCTGTCAGTATCAATCCAGGAAGCCTGAAACTCTCTATATTACTCAGTGAAATAGTTAGTGACCTCGTTGACTGACACCATGTTTTTACATGACCATCTCTAATCTGTCAACAATCTACAACACCAATAGGCGGTTGCAGGACACATGTGATACATCATTCAATCATATTAATAGACAAAATTAAAGTTTTATTAACTGGTTTTCTAAATGAGATCATATATGGGTCATAACCTACCAAGTAGTTTACATTGTAATAAGATAGTTATAAGAGAATTAGCACCGAAAAATATTGATTAAAGACGTTGAACGACTTGGATCAAAATCAACCATGTTAGATTAGATGTATTCATTCTTTATCATTCGTTAAATCTAGAACCTAGTTTAAATTTTTGTCTAACTATGCAACATTACCTATATTATTTTTTGTATACTGCTTTTTAACATGTTAATTTCTCTTTGCACTTTGCTGTATGAGATTGGAAGACCTACACAGATGCATATTTGTAACTGAGTAAATAAAACAAGCAATCAATAATGAATTCTTCACATGGTGAACAATATTTAAGAAATCACCGCTAAATTAACTATGACTTACATATGGTATACTGTTCGGAGAAGCGGAGTTCTTAGATGAGGTAGTCCGCGTATGGCTTCGAATACACGTTGCGATATAAGAACTAGTACATTAAGCCTTGCAACAATTCTGCGCTGCGCAGACACTTGAAACGAAATATCTGATTTCTTAAACCGTTGACATGCATCATTGAAATCATTGTGAATCCCCTTTAATAAATTGTTTAAAATATAAAATGTGTCTGCAAACAGAAAAAACAATGTAAAAGGAAAACAAAGTATGACGAAAGAGCAACAGGAATCAGGTAATATTGTAAATCAGTCCGAGGCAACAACAGTTTGACGTTTAAAGCAGTTCAATTAAGCGCTATAGGATATTTGAACAAGCTTGTTACAAGTGTTTTCTACAACTTCCACGAATTCCTACCATATTCGTAGAATAGATAAGTGACTAATAAGTATACTCAAAAAAATAATCCTCGGGCAATTCTCACATATAACTTATGAAAAACGAAATCAATATAAGTTAAGATGAATTTCCGTTGCATTAAATTATTCAATGCTAACTCCACCTGTAGACTCCTAATAAATTTTTATTCTGATTTTTGTTTACTGACAAATACTTAGTTAATAAATTATAATCATTGTAACTGATAGATACTCGATTAACTAAAGTATATGTCTAATTAAACTGGGGTCATCCTCAACAGAGCTTTTAATGCTAAACTGTTTACTCTAGTTAGTGGGGAAGAGAAGAGAATAAAAGTATTCCCGTTCACTACACTTAAGTCGAGGTTGCGAAATCTTAATAGAGCTCACATAGGAGTCAGTCGGATAAATCATTAACAGTAAAAATGGATAGAAAGATTATCGGAATTATGGGATATATTAGCGTAAAACATTTCGAACAATATAATCACACCACTAATATATCGCATGGTTCCTGTAAACTTCGTCTTAATATTACATTATCTGAATTCATTACCGAGATTGCGTTAAAAATAGATATACCTTTCTTTAAATCAACTTGCAGGAGGGTCACGCTATATCGAAATGAGGCTGAAAAATAAAAATAGAATGGTTAATTATTCATTCAAAAAAGGTCAGTTCGGTGGGATATTTTCGTCCATAGTAGGAACAATAAATGAAATAGAATGAAGCTAGTACATTTTATTTTGTGAATACTAATCAGCAATAAAAATCATTACCTCGTTCTAATAATTCACACTTAAGAACCCTGTTCATTTTATATAAATTCATATACTGATCCACCTATTTCTATATGGAATATATTATTTTCTGTTTTTCCGATAGTCATTTATTCTGCATTAAAATTTTGAATTTCCAGGGGAAGAATCGCATCCCGAACATGCTAGCATTATTGTTTAAAGTGTTCAGAAAACTGCATTTCGTCAGCACTTCCTTGATAAGTCTGAATAGTTGTCTGCTGTTACCTATCGCCGCTGCCCTTTCCATCGCCCTTGCTTTCGCTACCCACCACTGTTCGCGATCATTGCGTAGACTTTTTATCAGCTTGCGCTTAAGCTAACTTCGCTCTTTGTCATGTTCAGAGTCAGGTGGGATGAGTTTACAAGCGTCTATCAGTTCGGTGGATGCTGCTGAAGTCCACGGCTTATCCCTAGCCTCATGGTTTACCTTGCTAGCAGATATCACTGCTGTTTCCGCAGCCCTTTTGATACCATTCCAAGCTGCCTCCGGATGAGAATCACTTACATGGTCTCCTAGCTGTTTCTTGTTGCTCCTGAAATATATTCATAGCTCTGCTATCATTAAGTAGAAGAACCCTAAGAGGTTTTCTCGCGGTGTCTTTCCTACGTCCAGTAAGCCTCAAACAAATACGCGCTCCCACTAGGGCATGAGCTGAATCTAAACATGTGACCCAGAGCGAGTGACAGTGTTCTACGGCACCCCTCCACCGGTGGCTGATAGAAATGTGATCTATTTGGGTCCAGCGTCGAGACGACTTTGGGGGTCTCCAGGTCGAAAGATGTCTTTCCTCATGCATAAATTTAGTGTTTGCTAGAAATAGTTGTTTATCTGAGCATACTTGCATCAGACAGTCGCCACTGTCTGTTCTCTGAGCTGCGACACCATAACATCCACCAAGGTGTCTTTTATTTCCACTTAGTCTACCTACTTGAGCACTAAAGTCATCAGCCATTATTACTACATCAGAGCGCCTAGCTTTTTGGAGGAGGTACGAAAGCTTTCTGTAAAACTCATCTTTTACATCGTCTGAACTACAGTGAGTGTGGGCGTAGGCTGATATGCCGAAGAGTCAACGGCGAGTGTCCCTATCCTTTAGAATCCCGTTTAGTCGGACGGCGCACAAGCGACTATCTACAGTGATCCAGTCTAGGAGAGATAGTTCGTACCGTCCCGTTCAGTTGGACAGTCTAAGAGAGCTAGTTATACCCTAAGACTCAATGCTATACCTACGCCAGCGAGACCACGGAAATCGTAATCAGGGCTTGCAGAAACACGAAGAGTAGACCGTGTTGTTTCTCTACCTGCACAAGGTGAAATCAAATTATTGATTTTACCAGAATCCTGTATACACGCTTCCGAAACGCAACACATTGATGGCACGAGATTCTAAAGTCCTAGCTAAGGAAGCCTATTGTCTTATTTGACAGTGTCCGGACATTCAATGCTCCAACATGTAATCGAGAACGGGGTTTCAGGAAACCAATAATAACATTTCGGGAATTTGAATAGTTTGCATTAGCGGTGCAAGATGATAGAGGGATACGAGAAGGGTGAGTCGTAGAGATAAGAGAGATGTTAGGGGGTGTAGGAAGGATTTGATTTTGACCAATTCGGTCTCCTGTGCTGTTACGGGTATGAGGGCGGTTGTCACTTCCCGGCTGCCCACACCGTGGAAGGGTGTTTCCTGAGGAACCTGAGAAGGAAGATAGATTAGTATTGGTCTTATAGACCTGAGAGCGTGATCGCAGAGCCCAAGGGAAAACAGTCAGTCAGTTGCAACGTAGAACTTCGTACAAGACTACACAAAGGACAAGGGACAACTGCTTAAGGGCGGTCACGCGCAGCCGTTTTATGACGGATACGGACCTATTATTGTGGTTATTTGTTCAAATACATCTTAATTAGACTAACCAGTTGAGACCAATGTACGATCTATAGGAAATGTCTGTCCCAATTGCTACTCTATATATTAACAGAGAAACTGACAACCAAAATGAAAAGGATCATAAAAAACAATACGAACAATAAAATGTAGTTGACACAGAATATAGTTTTAAATGGATGAACGAAATGCAGGATTAAGGACTGTCAATCGGACTTTGCAGTAATATTGATCCGAAACCCTTCAAAAGCTACTCTATAACTAAATGGACTATTCAGTGTTGCGAAAGTTATGCTTTAATGAAAGATTATCATCAGGTCAGATAATCTGGCTTGAAACAAAGTCATATATCCTTTTAATGCGATTAGTTTTGCACCAGCTACACTCAATTCTCGTTAATTTGTAGAATCTATAGCGAAATCTCAGCTTCCCTGTCGAAAAATACCTATATTGAATAACAATGAGTGATCCAGAATCTCCAGGAGGAAAGCAGGACATTTACAAACACGTATGAGGTTGATATGTGGTGTAACTGTGGGGATTGTTGACTTTTACTTACTAATGGTCATAATTAATGCAGTAACGTGTTCTAATGTCTAATGCATTTTGTGATCCTGTATTGTACATAATATGTTCTGCATTTGCAGCTTATCAGTTTATTTGAGCCCGATTGAACTCTAATACGTGGGAAACTAGTAGGATCCAAAAGACGGGATTTAAGCCAGTAAAAACAATCGCTAAGACATGATTATCATCTTTTTAATCTGATAAAGTATACTATGTACTTTCTCCCTTCACTGAGTGCCAGTGTCCTAAGCGGAAACTCAACTTAGCAAGCTCAAGCAATTGTTTGGGAAGAAAACGACGATTGATTTAAATAAGGTCTACTTATCATCTTATATTCTCAGACTATATCTAAAATATGATGTTTGTAATGACCGCTCTTGGTTTAAGCACACTAGCACAGGTCCCAAAAAATGAAGTTCCAACAGTGCCATGCAAATCCTGATGTTTTAAGAACAACTCTGATAATGAGACCCAGATCTAGACACACAAGAACAAAATTTACTAAGTAATACTGAATGGCTCACCTCCGGCAGGTTTTAATGCATTGAAGTCGCGTAGACGAAACTCCTGGTGCATTTAAACTATCGGTATTCAATTACTGGATAAAATATTGCTAATTTTTTATGTTCGATGCAACAAAAGTTGTTAGCAAGCTTGTTTCTATCCCATTGGAACTATTATTCAGGCCTGACAAAATAGCTATGAGTAGTTGCAGGTAGAAAACCGCGCCATTTCCCAGATAGGTTATGATTGGTTGTCTTTCATAAGCGTTTGTAGCGGAAGATTTACACACCTGATCGCAGTCAAATCCTTGCGAATTGAGTTTTTCAGCTGTATGATGGTACAATTATGCTCAGATGACGAGCTCCAGTACATCAACCAACACCAACGTGTCAATGTTTGGTTCCTGAAATGCTTCAGACTTGAAGAGGTGATATCATTTATGGACAAGCCTTAGCGACACATGGGTGACCTTCATAAGGTCAGTTTACAGGCTAGCTCAAATTGTCACAAATGCTAACACATTTACTGCAAAAGTTATTGCATTTAAATTACGTATAGGAGTCAGTTTCTGGGAGCACATTTACACCATGCTACTTACAGGAACACTTTGATACAGCCACATTTACAATAGGACGGTACAAATAGGGAAGGTGCATAATAGGTTTATTGGGTGGTTTGCTTGGATCAGTAGTGAATTTGTTTCAGAACGGCAGTTGGAAAGCGCCTGATACAAGTTGTGACCTAGACGTGTATGTACATAGGGTTAATGTTGCCTATAGGCGCCAAGGATTTTCCACTGTGAATAGGGTTCTGAAAGGAGTGAAAAGACAGAGAGAATAAAAGGCAGCAACGAGACAACTGTAAATATATAACCAATGCACTGATTAACCTCTCATGTTGAAGTAGACAATACTGTGGTAAGTCAAGATAACATTCATAGTGACCACTAAAATTAAAGTAAATTCTAGTAGTAAAACCCACAAATGAAGGAGTACAGAAATGAAGAAGGAACAGTTCTAGAGAGAGTCCAGTGGAAATTACGGATCCGTAATTCTGACATCCGTAGTATCTGCAGTGATGGGTAAAGAATAAAAGCATCGGCATTACAACATCTATTCGACTAAAATCTCATAATGAGAAGAAAGTGTATGTTGGTTACTGCCGGTCCGCAGTGCTGCTTCATTAAGATACTTTTTTGTCAGTTTCATGGGTTATTTCCATGTAGGATTTCGGGTAGCCGTACTGCTGTAAGTCCTACACGCCCTTCTACAATGGATTATGTTATAAGAGTGAACCATGATCAAAGGCATCAAAATGACTTCACTTTGCATAGACGGATTTCGCAGGCTGTTGTAAGATGCAAAATAAGAAACACTCTGTGTTATATGAGAGATCGAACATCATATATATCAATATTCAAAGGAGTAAAGCTGTAATATTGTTTCGTAATTGATGTTTATTTTCATACACCATTAACAATAAAAAGGTTACGTACACCCATCATTTGTTATCCATTCAAACAAGGCAAGACACGTTACTTAATCTCCGTGAGAGTTATTCCTAAATACAAACCTCAGATTCCAAATCTACGACGTTATTTATATGAGGTTGTTCTGTTACTGAAATCTTTCACAAGCTACATCGGCTTCATACAGATGCCTAAAATTTTGCGAATAAAATTATAGATAATTTCCAGACACCGCAAAGTACGGTGCGAATAATTGGCGCGAGTTACAGCAGTTGCGTTACGACGAACTACTAATGACTGCGAAACAATGCAAGGTAGAGCCATGCCTTCATATAACAAGAATTGATGAGGTAAATGGAAAAAGATCTGCTTGATATTCGTCAGCTAATAAATTTACAGGCTGCTGGTTAAATCAACCAAGTCTTCGGCAAATATCCAGACTGATATTTAAGGATTGGAATGAGGTGCTGAAAAAGAGAAATAAAGAGAACACGGTGAGCAGCAGAACAGAAAATATTCTTGTTTAAAGCCGAACAATGACTCAGCAGATACTTTTTTAAATTAGAACAGTAACTGTACACCTGCACTTATGCAGGTTAATGAAGACAACTCAGTAGTAAGATAACGAATGGGCAATTAATCGTGTGAATAGAGGAAATTCAGAAGAAACAAATTGTTGGCAATAATGTTGATGTACAGAATATAATAATGAGTCACAATGATCTGATGCTTTGGTGATATTTTCTTTTTTCTTTTTCTTTTCAACTCTGTAGTGCAAGAAGTCATGTTTGAGCTCTTTTTCAGTGTAATTGCCTAGATCTGCTTGCAACAGGGTTTGGTGGTAGGAAGTTAAAACTAGTGCAAGGTTACGGACATGAGTCGTAGACGATTTTACGAAGGAAAGGTAACACCAATATCACTGATTTGTTACATCCCGTTATATTGTAAGGAGCCGTAAGCAAACAGAATTTTATGCCACACAGACGTGTGTAGATTGAGGTTATCGCCCCACCGTCATGAATGCTGGCCAGCTATAACACCCTCGCGGGCTTGTTCTGGGAGCAACTAGAGCGGCATTCGGATCATGAGTGTGGTGCCATCACGAGGTAGATGGACATGATACTCAAACAGCAGTAACTTACATCAGTAGGTGTTACGGGAGAAATGAAGACATTTGGCTGATTAAAACCTTCATATAAATATCATTAATTTCACTGTTTTTTGGGTATATTTGTTTTACTTAACTTATGAACTTGTTTCATTTATTACTTTCAGGCATTTTGGTTTCTGGTTGTCTTGGTTTGATAATTTGGAGATTTTGCTCCAGGAACCTATAAAATTGAAGAACGACATTTTGGTCGACTATTTGTGAATTGCGAATAAATTTTGTACCTAACTTTGGAGTTTGGTTCTGTTGTTGATTTGGGATCGTGAATTGCAAAAAGATCGACAAACTGTACTTCAGTAACGGGAAGGAGCAAACCTTGGACGTAACAGTAGGTTGTAAAAAACTAATTTCGGTGATTCAATGGATATCGACAAACTAATCCTACTAGGCTCAAGCACGATCAGTCATTTAACTTATGAAAACACCTGATGCACCTAGATATTCAGTCGGAAACTAGTCCACACTACTTAAGAGAACTACTATTTTTCCATAACGTGTTGAGGAATGATATCAGGGTCGAGGACAAAACTTGTATCAACGTACCGTCGAACCTCGCTTCCTAACTGCTGATACCTTTCGAAGTGAGTGTGTGCAAAAGTCAAGTGCTTAGTGGCCAGTTCGATTTCGTAGTGTTCTTTATGCAGTTAACACAACTATATGCGGAATTACCACTATTAACTTCACAGGTTCGTCTCTATGATCTGATCGTTTCACATTGAGAAGCAACCATTCCGACGAGTCGTACGATTAACTCGCCCTAACTTATTACTTCTCAGGCGCCGTATGGTGTTTTCTCAGAGTGACCTTGACCGTCCAATCTTAGCAGGCGTTGTAATTCCTGGATGTATTTTAAGAAATAAGTAGTTGGTAAGCTTTAAGTAGTTACTAGTCTAGCAAAAATATTACAGGCTGTTCTATGAAGTATAAAGTCAGAGCGGAGATCATTCATATCATACAATGATTCGTGATATGAATAAATTAAACCTAGCGGAAACCTGTGTACTGAAATCAGATGATAAACAACCTGAACAATGCTAGAAATCTGACGAGATTTAAATGCGATTTTGAAACGTCTGTAAAACGAGAATTCTGAGGCCACAAACGTAGGACATTTGTCGAGAAATCGCTTAGAAAATTTGATAACGTAACATCCGTCTTGTAAACGATTATAATGTAAATAAAAAGAGTTCTACTTTACACATCAAAACAAAAACAAATAAGGGGTTTTATATGGAAGATTAGATGAACCAGAAGAGAACGAAATAGGGGCAATCTCTGACGCTTTGAGAGGTTCACCAAGTCATTGTTAACCGATTCGACAGGTGTCGAAGTAGAAACTTGAGCTAACAAGCTGTGTGGCGGACTTGTAGCCACCCGCTAATATCATGTCATACGGTGCACGTAGTTCAGATTCCACGGGTTGTGAATCGGGATCACGCCTAGGATAAGATGTTTCATTTAAAAGTTTCCCCATGAGATAGTGAAGCCAATAGAGATTGGAACTTGGGTGAAAGGGACGCCAATCATTTCTGTAATACGAAAATAAAACAGTTAACACTAGAATCATGAGGACAAGCTATAACTATAATTGCAGATGTATTTGTTACTGACCGCTCACTTCCAGTATTCCATACACGTTCCTCCATTCATCTCCGAACCATACTCATATCATATTATTATTTCTCTGACTGATTAACACTTATCAGTTCTATTTATCGTTGTTGTTTCGACTCTACTGGTACTTTCTCTTATTTGATTTTGGTGTTGATGTGGTTCTAAGGTGTGATCGATAAACAAACCCACGAATGACAGTCTTAGATATCCATCAACAACTTAACTCTCACCTTGTTGAAGTACCAATCACAATTTTTCATGTTTGTCACAAACGATATTGAGTTTTTTTTGAGTCATGTTTTCTGCATTATGTTTTGGTTTAGTGTGTTATTTACTTCACTCCTTTTCTCTCTCTTCACTGGATTGTATTAATTTCTATTATTGTATACTAAGTGTTAATTTACGTTTTAAAAACAGATAAAGTTGATCGAGCCAAATAGTTTACTTGTTCTGAATTTAGCTATGACTGTGTTTGACTCTATAACTCCGCCTGTGAAAAATTCGGGCCTACTGCAAGTCCCGAGCCCGGATAAAGGAGGAGGGTTGGCGACCCCATCCCAACTAAAAACTAACTTGTCAAAAAACGCTAACAAGAACAAATAAATCAAACCATTTCAACTCTCCCCTGGGAGTTGGAAGAAGAATTATAAAGTCTCGTGATAAAAGCCGAGTTTCCTCGGAAGTCACGAGGCCGATGCCCCTTCTGACAACCAGAGCAACCATTCTTTTAGGTACATGGAACGTTCATACATTGTGGGAGACTGGAAGACTGTTTCAGGTTTCTGCAAAAATGAGAAGATACAACGTGGAGGTGCTTCGAATCAGCAAAACACATTGGACGCAAATAGGAGAACTGAGACTAGCTTCAGGGGAACTGCTGTTATACTCTAGTCATTAAGAGGAAAATGCTTCACACACAGGGAGTTGCACTAACATTGTCCGAACAAACACAAAAGGCACTGATACGATGGGAATCTCATGGACCCAGGACCAATTAAAGCATCCTTCAAAACAAAGAAAGAGGATATTACAATGAACCTCATCCAATGCTATGCACCTACCACTGACTACAATAGAGACGTAAAATATCAATTCTACGAGAGGCTGCAGTCAATCGCAACATTGAAGTACAATTGGAAAGGGATTAAGGAGGCAATCACTTCAACATGTCACGAAGTTCTGGGTCCAAGGACCTCCCAATTAATATTGGTGCACCTACGATTGAGGAGATCAGTATGGCCATCA